AAACTCTTAAGGTTCTTTTAATCGACGGTTATATATTTCGTTTGTTTGTAATTATCAAATAAAAAACGTGTCATCCAAATACTTTAAGGAAAAGAATACTCGATTGAGAGTTAGAACACTGAAAATTATTACTTGGGCCTGTTTTAATTCTCAATCCAATACTGTTCACATAAAAACAAATACAAATTATAAGAACTCAGAAATGCCAAATGCCTATGAATAATTCAAAAATTGTCAGTACGTTTTAAAAATTATACCACGACTAGAACAGGCTTATTTAAGTATTCTGTAAAAATGTTTGACCTCTCCAAAGATTTTCAATAGATAGAATAATATTAATTTACAAATTAAAATGATACTTTAAAACAATCCACGAATTTGAATTATATCTTTGGCATTTTTTTTTTTTTTTTTAATATGATTTTGTCGTATTTCTTTATTTTCTTTTTATCTAAAAGACAACGACATAAGTTTAAGTCCATAATAATCTAATACGCGTTATACTGAAAACTACAATATTTTAATAGTGACTATAAAACGTAATTTTTGTTTGACCAAAACGGCAAAAATTAGTCATATACTTAAGCCATTTAGATCGCCGTGTTTTGGTCAGGCCATTGAACAATATTTATCCACTTGACTGCAATGTTATATCATTATTCCGTTTAGAAATTTTCAAAATATAATTTACTCGTATCGAAAACTATAGAAAATTGACTTGAGCCCTCGTTGTTTCCTGGGACCAGTGATATGCGTACTGGCTGTACGTATATCACGGATACGGATGGTTACTCATTACGAATTAAATATTGCACAACACGCGGTCTGCATTATCGGGGAAAATTCGAAGATAATATTGTATGAGGAATTTTTCAGATTGCCCTTTAAACGCAATATTTTGTCAATGTAGATAAAACATAATAAAATTAGATAGATACAGGTAACGTGTTCCTGCGGGCTATTGCAGTTCACAAGCGTACAGCGATTAAAACCAACAAGGCGCTGTTTTAAACAAATAATAATATCAATAACAAAAATAATAATAATAATAGCAATAATATATGCTATAATGTATATAGGATGCGATATCTGTATTACACGTTTGCACGCGTAGGGGTTCAAATCGTATTACTTTTTGACATATTTTTACGTATGCATAGCATATTATGCGCAAATATTAAATATAATATTATCAATATTTACCGTGTCTATAATGTCGCAGTATATTATCGAGATCGTTTAAATGTTGACGATACAGTCGAATTTTCCACGAAACGCTTATTTCTACAAAAGTCAACAGACATACTTCGCACGATAGATGGGCCACTGTTGTAGGCGAAAGGTTTGGGAAGGTAGGATGCAGAGGGGGTTTTTAATGTATAACTGTGCGCAACGATTTGTCATTGATAACGAAAAACCATTCGGTTATACATGTTTTGAAATGACATTTTTTTACGATATTCATCAAAATTTGATATTTTAGGTGCTTATTTGTTGTTGTAATTTAGGGAGGTTATTTTTTGATTTTCCCAACAGTTTTCCCAATAATTGGGAAAAACGTCGTAAAACCCGGTAAAATAGATATGATATTAAACAAATATTATTAAATAAAATATATAATGAACATGTAATTATTTTACCATAATGTGACATGTATTGTTGACAAAGAAACACTATTAACCGAATTCCGCTCAGAATGGCTTTTCGTTAGCAATGGTTAACCGTTGCGTATAGACGTACATTCAATTTCTCCTATACCTTCCCAACTTCACGCCTATACCGGTGGCCCATCCACGTGCAAAGTGTGTCCGTCTTTTAGCATTTGAATCCGTTTTGGTTGGTTAAAAATAAATGCTGTAATATTTACAATTTTCGTCAACATTTGATATTTAAATTATAATAAAAACAACTCTGCATTACGCTCTATTTTTTTTATTTTTTTTTTAACGACAATATACAACTTATAATAAAGTTCTTATTAATAGTTTTCATGCAATTCTGTTTAGTCTATCAATTTTATCCATAAAATACCTAGTACCTATAACATACAAATTATGTAAAAACTCGCAAAATCAAAATGTCAATAAATAGCTCAAATATTTTGAATATATCACCATTTCTAGAAAACGCAAGCAAAGTTATCTATCAAAATTTCAAGTTTTTATGAATATTTTTAACTGAATCATAACAAAATATTAAAATTGAAAATAATATACGTTTCGTACATTTTCTCTTTTTTTCCAACATTTTTCATAGTTCGCCCCACAGTTCATTTATTATGAAAACCGTTTGGAAAAACAAAAAATGACCTCTTTAAAGTACCACCCGCATAAAATTTTGTTCCAGAAAAATGTCTACACTTGATACTTAACAGTAAGATATCTGGTTTAATAGTTATTCGCAAATAAAGTAAAAAAATAAACATCATTGTAAAACCAATACATTCCTTGCTTCGCTCAGAATCTAAAATAACGACTACAGTAAAAATATTTCGGAATTACATATTTTATAATATTACATTTTCCGTGTATCTTTCACTCTAATTTTTGGACGTAAAGTAATTTGATTTCATTTAGTTCTAAAACTTTGATGATTACATCCAGGACGTCTAGAATATCAAAACTAATTACTATCGAAAATCAAATTTTTGTTATTATTTCTATTTTCTTTAATAAGCTTCATCAGTGCGTATGGCTTTTTAGCCTTGAGGGGATCAAAGTGTTTTGCCTATTAATTGCATAATATTGTGTACATAAATATCTATACATACCTACACTTATTTTAATTACTCATGCTTATTTGGTTTCACATTTTATTGGTTTAATCTTATCGTAAAAATATTTTTACAAAATACTTATATTTTCCTTTTCTAGATGTAATAAAACTTTCAAATCATTCTAGATTCTGAGTCACTTTAGATTCTGAGTGGAGCTAAGAAGCTTATGGTTTTACAAAGATGTTTATTATAATTGTTTTATCTGTAAACAACTTTTCTACCTGAAGGCTTGCTCGAATTTCTAAGTGTAGCACCTTTTCTGAAAGACGATTGGTGTGGGAAGGTACCTTGAGGAAGTCATTTTTCGATTTTCTCAGGATTTTTCTCATTAAATTTGAAAAACCGAAAAAAGAACGGGAAAATATAAGATATGTAGGTATCAATTTAAATAAATTACGGCTTTTTTTTTTCTGTACTCTTTGGAGAGGCATTTTTCAATTTTATCATGAGTTTTCCCAGAAAATGTGAAAAACCTGGTTAAAACATGGGAAAATCGGTACAAAATTAAACAAATATTATTAAAGAAAATATATAGAGCCTATTTAATTAATTTACTTTAATATGGCATATACCTATATTGTTGACAAAGCGTCACTATTAACTGAACTCCGCTCAGAATCGGTTTTTCGTAAGCAATAGTTTATCGTTGCTTATAGATATATATTAAATTCCCTTCTATATCCTACCTTCCCAACTCCCCACCAACACCAATGACCGCACCCTTACCTTCTTACCTTTTTTTTTTTTTTCTTTTATGTCTATGTTTTAGTTAGTAGCCAATGTCCGATGCTGTAATTTGGGGTATACAATATTAGAGTAGCGGGGTTGATATTTTAAATCGCTCCGTCCCTTGAAGTTTAGTCGAGTCGAAACCGCCACTAGTTTGTTGTAGCCAAGAAAATGTAACATAAAACAATTTATTTTGTATTTTTACACATGTTAAGTACTTTATGTTACTATAAATTTAAATACGCGCCTACGGTAGCCAGTATACATAATATAATAGTATACAGTGTGTAACCGGTAACACGGAATATTTTAACATGGATTTGGTTTAAAAATCGTTTTTTTTCTTTTAGAATCATGAAAATACGGATGTTGAGCCGATATACATAATTTCAATTGAATTTTACCGAGAAAAAAAATATAAAATAAATACTATATTAGTCGTCGGTTGTTGGAAAAAAAAAATCGTAGTATATTAAAACGTATAGTATATTGGAATGTGGTATTAAAAATATTATAGTCGTTTTCATTTTTTTAGAAAAAACGGACATTTTACTGCGCAAACGCACGGCGTCAGGGTTGGCATTTTAAAAACAGTCTCGAAATGTTTATTTCGAAAACCTCGATATACTCGAAAAAAAAAAAATTAACCTATTTCAATTTAAAAAAAAATCCATCCGACTGAAATAATTCGTGTTTTCATTTGAGTGAAATACACTGTACAATGCACCTACTCGTATACAATTATGCTATATTATAATAGACGTGTATACACCTATATTTAAATGTGGTAAAGGTCGGAAGTACAACTATAATAATGCATCTAGCTATTATTCGTAAGCTTTCACGAGCGCATTAAATATATCGACGCACAATAACGAGAAAATATTATCGTTTGGCATTCGAAAACAAAATATATAAATATTTCTCTCGTGTAATAAAGTTCGATAAGTGACAATATTCTAAAGGTGAAACTGCAGATCGTATAAACAGATTGAAACGAATAATTGACGTTTCTCTCGTTTTTTTTTTTTTTTTTTTTATGAGATTTCGATTTGTATTCAAAATATTATAATAACAACTATATATATATATATACATGCCTGAAATAAGATAATATGACGACGAACGAACACCGCCTGTAAATATCCTGTAAAAAATTACATAGATAAGTGAATACCGATATTTGTATTGTACACGCGCCTATATATATGATATTGTATTCCATGTAGGTATTACTGTATAATATCAAAGACCAATCGAAAGACCCATTTCCGATTTCTGACTATAGTTTCTATTGGCTCGCACGAAAACTGCGAACGATTCTCTCTCCCTCTCTCTCTCTCACACTCTCTCTCTCTCTCTCTCACTCTCTCTCTCTCTCTATTCCATCCATATTATTGTGTAGTTTAATACACTGAGAGTAGGTTCAGACTGCACTATACACACATGCATACATACATACATACATGTATGTATATACATGTGTTTATATATATATATGTGTGTGTGTGTGTGTTTGGTTATAATATAACGACGTCGACCAAAAATAAACTTAACGCGATTTAGTCTTCCACAATCGTTTGAATCGATCAGTGTCTTACTGTTTTTTAAAGCGTTGTGACTTCAGCCCACACTGCACAGCTATAACTCGGCTCTATACCGGGATTTCGTGTCTCGAGTACGTCTGCAAGCGGAGTTTCACAGGAGCTGACCGCCTCGCGCCTCACGTAAAAGCGATACCGTCGTGCAACAGTGAAAAGGTAAAAAAAAAAAAACCATCGTTTTAATATTAAACCGTCGTAGTAGATATAGACAAGTATAATATAGGTATATATATATGTATGTGTAATTCAACTTTTATTACTAAATAATCGGATTAAATAAATATATTATACACGCAGGGCGACTGTGTAATATTATAACTGACACTGTAATAATATTATATTATACCTGCCTAATATAATACGTCACTACGGGTGGAAAATTGGATTGTTTTTTTTTTTTTAATTCATTTTATGTCCCTACGATAAAATACTTTTACAGCGAAAAATGTTTACGAATACCTCACCGACCTCACCCCCGTTTGTACTTCCCGTTTACTGTACATAATAAACAGTAGATAGCGTATTTTAATGACACCGGTTGTAATATAGTGACATACCGGATGTTATGACTTCGGGTTGAAAATCTCGGAAAAACTCCTGTTATAATGACTGTACGACGGTTATGACGGTTATTTTTGGTTACATTGGAAAAATCTGTTGTCCATAATGACTGTATTAAACTATATTAAACTGTATTTAATTTTAAAACAACTTTTTTTTTATTTTATTTTTTGTTGATTCTGAGTGGAGCAAAGAAGCTTATAGTTTTACAAAGATGTTGTTTTTTTTTTTTTATCTGTGCGCTACTTTTCTACCAGAAGACTTGCTCCAATTTCCACGTTTCTACGTTTAATACCTTTTCTGAAAGGAAATCGACATGGGAAGGTATTTTTAGTAGATCATTTTTCGATTTTCTTAAGAGTTTTCTCATCAAATGCGAAAAACCGAAAAAAACAGGAAAATTTACAAAATATAATCTTACTATTTTTTTTTCTATGGACAACTTTTCTACCATCAATTTTGCTCCAACTTTTAACGATAGCAATGTTTCTAAAAGAAACTTTCACTAATGAGGTACTTTAAAGAAGTCATTTTTTGATTTTTCTAAAAGTTTAACCAGAAAATGAGAAAAACCAGGATAAAACATGGGAAAAACATAGAAAAACTGGGAAAATTGGAACATAAAACAAATTGTTTTAAAGAAAATATATAAAGCCTATTTAATTATTTTACTACAAAATTACATAAATATTGTTGACAAGGTATCACTATCAACTGAACTCCGCTCAGAATCGTTTTTTCGTAAACAATGGTTTATCGTTGCTTTATAATATACATTAAATTCTCATCTACATCCTACCTTCCCAACTTCCGACCTACACCAGTGGCTGCATCCGTCCCCATTATCATAAGTTTTTTTTTTTTTTTGCACGTATTGAAGTCACGATTCGGTGATAAAAATATGACACTCTGATTGTAACACAATATTTTGTTCGTATAAAAACAAATATATATTGGTTTTTTTAAGTTTTGTTTTAGCATTTTGGTTATAATGACAATCGGTTATTATGTCTAATTTTAACTATATAGTCCCTTGAATGCCATTTCAAACGGTTTCTATTCTGTAAATAATCGACTTGGTTAAACCCAGAAGATTTTGTCTAATTATTTAGATTCTAATGGATTTGTACATTTATTTTACTGTGTGTGTTTTTAGATTCTGAGTGTAGTGAAGAATGTATTGGTTTTACAAAGGTTTTTATTTTATTATTTTTTTTTTATATATATATATATATATATATACTGTGTACAGTAATTCAATCAGAAATTTTGCTCTGAAGTATTAAGTAAAGCACCTTTTCATAAAGGGAATTTTCTGGGGTGGTATTTTAGGGAGTTCATTTTTTGATTTTTCTAGAAGTTTTTCCAATAAATGGGGAAAACATCGTAAAACCCGGTAAAATAGATAAAATGTTAACCCTTCCAGTATTATTAAAAAAAAGTATATCGGTAATGCATATGTAATTATTTCATCATATTGTGACATATTTATTGTTGACAAAGCAACACTATTAACCGAATTCCGCTCAGAATAGATTTTCGTTAGCAATGGTTAACCGTTGCGTATAGGTATACGATTAATTTCTCCTTTACCTAGCCAACTTCTCACCTACAATAGTGGGCCACCCATCGTGTAAAGTATGTCTGTATCTTTTGTTTAAGTTGTTAAAATAGACGTACATTCAATTTCCCCTATACCTTCCCAACTTCACACCTATAACAGTGGCCTATCCACGTGCAAAGCATGTCCGTTTTTTTTTTTCTGAGTCCGAGAACAAGTTTTTGATCATAATGATGACTTGCTCCAATCGAAAACTACAAAGAACCTTTTTCTGTATAAAATTCGGGATATTTTTACTACTTAGATTTTTTATTATTATTTATTTATGTGAATAATTGTTTGGGGTTGTAAAAATACTCGAACATTTGAAAAAAAAAAATATATATATGTTTAACCGAGCTCCACTGAGAAACGTATTTGGTCCCAGCGGTTTGTTATCGTTGCACTCGGTATTCAATCTAAATTAGGAGTACTGCTTTGGGAACTAGATTTACATATTCTCGTTCCACACATAAAAACGCAAATATATTGAGTTTATTTCAAGAATATACGCTTGTCGTGGAAATATTCGTCACATAAGTAAAGGGACATTTTTATCCTCGGATCAATAGTTGCCCACCGGATCGAATTGTCCCCAAAACAGATCAATATGTACTGTTACCGCCACATAATGTCTCTACAATGACCAGAAATTTTAGCCTTTGCATCTGTTCTGGTTGGTTAAAAATAGAATGTTCTGGGTTGTAGTAAATATTGAAAAAAAATAATAAGAAAATCGTCACTCGGTAAGACGTTTCCGCTGGAATCACACCAAGGAGATTACAATTAATTGAATATTTTTTATGAAAAATCAAATTTCCCGTTGCCGGCTGTCGTGTTTTTTCGGTCTTATCGCAATAACCACTTTTTGATCGAAATTGTACCTACGCGACAAATATTAAAGAGGTTGACACATTTGTAGTCACTGTACCTACTTGGTGGCATTTGCAGTCACACGGGTTTTTTTTCTTTTACTTGCCATCAATTTTTACAATATTGACAAAGAACACATTAATAATAATAATTTAAAATAATAGGTATCTGATATAAACTAAAATAAAACTTTCCTTCGCACTTTTACAGACTTAGGATTGGCAATAAGTATTAATTTAATATTTACCGCAAGTTCCACCAATAAAGTATTTACCGTAAATGGGCCGGAATCACAATTAAACCCATGACCGCAGTTACTACCAAAAATGTAATCAAATTAAAGGTGAAGAAAAGCCGCACATCCTAAACAAACGTACCTAATCGTTATGTTTGTATACAATCCAATTGTAAGAAATCTTGCAAAAGACGACAATGGCCACAATGTCAGAAACAGAAGTCTCATAAAAATTAAGACGCTCACACGCTCGAATTTATTTAAAGTTCCGATTTTGATGTACTCGTACATGTCTTAAAATTCCTGGAATAAAATGCAATTTTTTAGATTCTAAGCGGAGCGAGAAATGTGCCTATTGATTTTACAATGATGTTTATTTTTTCTTTTCTGTAGACAACTTTTCTACCAGCAATTTTGCTACAATTTATAATGACAGCACTTTTTTTGAAAGGAAATCGGACTGTATTGGTAACGTTAGGCAGGTAATTTTTTGATTTTCCGAGCCGTTTTCATAACAAATAAGAAAAACGGGAAAAAACGTAGGAAAACCGTGAAAATAAGTACAATATTAAACAAATATATAATACATACGTAATTAATAATTACATATGCAATATTTTCTAATTATTTTACCATAATACTTTAAAATATATTATAATTGAATATATTTTTATAATAATATCTTACCATATGACATATTATATATTATTGAAAAATCAACACACTGTTAACCGAACTCCGCTCAGAATAACGATTTTTCGTTTGCAATATTTTACCGTTGCGTACAGATATACGTTTAATTTCCCCTTTACCTAGCCAACTTCTCACCTACAATAGTGGGCCACCCATCGTGTAAAGTATGTCTGTATGTTTTGTTTTAGTTGTTAAAATGTAATAAATAATTATATGCATGAAAACAGTTGTAATCAGTTAATTGAAAAATAACTATCTCTTTTTTATTACTAAAATGAGTCAAAAAAAAAGTTGGGAAAGTAGGACGAATAATATTATTTAATTTATATCTGTAAGCAACAATAAACTGTTGCTAACGAATTACGATTCTGAGCGATATTTAATTATAAATGTTTTGAAATACCGTAGTATATATTATTTTCGTTAAAATATAATTTTAAACCACTTAGAAAAAAAAATTGCCCACACTTTTTTTTATCACTTAGTACAACTTATGATGAACCTCGCGTTAAATTTTGAAGCATTTCAATTAAATCAAACAATTTTATTCACTTATAGTACTTATACCGAATCAAAAGAAAAACCCTAAAATGTAAAATGCCTATAAATAGCTCAAAAATCGCCAAAACGTTAGATAATTTAACCACGTCTAAAAAATACTATAATAAAATTTCAAGTCTGTAATCAGAAAATCAGAAACGGCTTGCTTGTACACCAACTACAAAATGCAATCAACAAAAGTTTTTTCCGTAGCCTTTCCCTTCCGTAAAAGTATTTTCCGATTTGGAGCAAGTTTTCTGGTAGAAAAATCGTTTACAACCTGAAAAAGTAAAAAACACGCATCGTTGGCTCCGTTCAGAATCTCAATAAAACAAAAGGGTGTCCCCAACTGTGTAGGTACCATATTCGCATACGGCGCAATATTAAGGTTATAACCGTTCGGGTTCGTAAAGTTGTCCATTTCGTTCGCTGTTACGTGGGTACTGCTACAGCTATAGTAATTGCATGACGATTCGTGTATACTCTTCAATTACTAACGCGCAAGTCACGAGAACCCGGTTTTACAATACATTATTATAATAATATCAGTGACGTATTTACGGGTGAAAATTAGGGATATATATTTCCTGCCACTCCCCCCCGCCCTGAATTTGTTTGTATTCTATTATTTATGCGTCTACCAATTGTGCGCAGTGGCGCAACTAGGGGGTGAGGGTTATGACCCCCATCCGAAACATGTTTGTGGGTTACTTACGAGTTCTGCGTAATCGTATGGTTTATCTGTCAGTTTGAAACACAATGTCGTATCATCGTGTATAAATATGTGATGACAGCCATCATCATAAAGATCGTTTTCTGAACTTAGGAAGCTAAAAACTTATTTGAGAATCACTACAGGACAGCCGAGGCTTAATGGAATGGCCACTTTAAACGTGCATACAGACATTGAAGTTTAACCAGATTCAGTGTTTGGTGAAATGTTGAGGCAATCTACTCGAAGAATGAATCTTAAACTGTAAATTATTATTATTATCATATCATAGTGTGACGTATGAGTACAGCATATTTAAAAACATAATTAATATGAATCCAAATTGTTTTCCAATATGCGTTGTCTATAAATGAAATTTAAACACTTTAAAGATTTTACTCATAAACCGAACTCAACCTTGACCCTTCTACTCCAACGGACAACATCCAAAATTGAATTTTTTTTCAAATTCATAAAACTCCCTTCGAAAATAAATCCTGTTTGCGCCACTAATTGTGTGTACATTAAATTCAAATGTCGACGAGTTAAATTAATGCATGGATGCAAAGTTAAATTAATATACCTAAACATGTACCTATACATTTCTTGTTTAAAACGAAACCTTTATGAAAACCACTATTATATAATGAAAGAGGTTAAATAAGTAAATTAATTAATAACAGTCACTTAACCTACAGGTACATATTATAGTTATTTGATTTTAATTTAAAGCAGATTGTCGAATTAAAAATTACTTACGCAAATATAAAATTAAAAATCTATTTATATTTTTTTTTAGCTCGGGTACACATTACATAATATGACCAGTGTTGTGTTTTATCTAGATTGGTATATTTTTATCTTTCATCTTTATCCAGATAAACGGGAATTGTGTTATCTAAGACATTATCTGAGGTGAACAAATAAATCATCTGTGTATAAAATTTAATATTTTAATATTTATATGACAAAATACGTTAACCAGGTAAATATTCTTTGTTTTCCGATCACAAAATATTAAATTGATATTTATACATTATTGTTATTGTTATTATTGTTATTATTTATTACATTGTAAACCAGCCGCGGCCGCTCCCCCTCCCCCTCAACCGTATCAAAATGTGTTATTTTAATTTTGGGGTATATTAAATTGCAATGGTTTGTGTTATCCTATTTTAATACATTGTTGTATTAATTATTCAGCCGCGACAAATTTAGTCTTCGTCTGTTCTTTGCGTAACATAAATGAATAAATTGCTGATAACAATATTATTATTGCGACCGACTGAGCGACGATGACCGTCAACTGCCAGCCGGCGCCCGGCGGCTCATGGGGTTTTGTCCTAAAAATATCTTCCATATCCGTCTGAAATTTATATCCATGTTTTACTGTTTACCTTTGTTATGTGATTCAGATGTTTTAACTTTTGAATTTCAAATCGCGTTCGAAATAATTGAGTAAAGAAATCCGATGCGGTTTACGAAAATAAAAGTGTTCATTGCGAAAAAAATAATAAGGAATTATCGCATCAAGTACTATTGCGTGTGTGTATGCAAGTGTAAAATACACTCGTATTCACCAGTAGCTATCTAAATATGTATATATATTTATAATCCGCCCCTCCCGTTAATGTAGGCTTTTGTGTGTCTAGCTTTTATCATTTTGGTACACTATAGTTTCCAGCCATTTATAGTCTTGTGCACGAACCATTATTTTTATTATAAATGACTAGCAATCCCGAGCCCGACGTTTCCCGCGCCAGGTTTTTTTTTTTTTTTTACCTTTATTCCCGCATTGTTTTGCCCCCGTAACTGTATATCGAACGAAAATAATAACGTACGTTCAAAGTAAATGTTAAGACTGGTTAATTTTTTCCCTTGAGGTTTTCGATTTTGACACCATATTTTAACATTTTAACTTAAACGTTGCATTGTGCTTACTTAACTTGAGTTAAAACACATTAAACCTTTTTTTATATAGAAATAAGTGAATAACAAACTATTTAGCTTATTGAGTAACATAAAAAATACGGTTGTTTTGAAATTTAGGTGTGTTATATATCTGGTATACTTTAAGCACTTAGATTTGTGATCTAATACCTAACCTATTAAACAATAATATTTTTTTTATCTAGATCAAAAATTCTATAATTTTATCTTAATCTAGATAGTTAAATTCTGATGTATCTTTTATCTTCATCTAGATAACCTTTATGTCAATTATCTCTTATCTCTATATAGATATTCAAAAATGTTTCTTTATACAACACTGAATATGACACAACTTTCAATCTCCCTCCTTGGCGGCCACATCCCGAGTACGCTACTGAAGAATACAGAGTGATCAATCCTCGATAAGGCACTCATTAATTAACTTTTTATGTATTAACTTTTTTCGACATTTAATAATACTTCTTCTATTTATGGAATTTTTAATGAAATTAAAATCGAAACAATGTCATCGTTTCATCGCCGAAAATAATGGTGACAAAAACCAATGTTTTATGTAATATCTCAGAGCGGCTTATTTCTTGAATTTTCTGAAAATTAATTACGACAAAAAGTTTATCTGTGTCTCGTCGAGGATTAATCGCTCTGTATAGTATTACATGTATTATGCATAATAAAATTATCACCTATATTGTGTACCTACCAATATAGGTTACTGTTTTAAGATAAAACTAAGTAACGGTTATTAACAAATTCGATCCCTACCCAACCTGATATTATTAGTATTATTACCTATACAAATAACGCATATTATTTTTGTGCACTTACTCACTGAAGGGCTGACTGTACTCTGCGGTGTTATTAATGTTTCGATAACAAACGTGAAACGGGTAAACGTGAAGTGGCTTTTAGACAATAAAATATTATTGTACATGTAAGTAGATAAGTAGATATTGGTATAATACGCGCGATTAACGCCAACATCCATACCTCTTCTCGTCAGTCAGTAATAATTGGATATTTGGATCGAAACAATTCGATGTTCCCGTTAAAAACAAACATAACATGAGTATTTATAAAAAACACTCGTATTTTATTTGAATATGACTAGTATGAGTAATCATAATACCTACAAACTAAGATTTGAATGTTGTTCAATACGGTATACCTCGTACTCATACGAGGTGTTTACCAATAAAATAAACTCCTAAGTACCTATTTAAAATGTAGAATAACATATAGGCGTAATGTTTATTATAAAATTACTTTAAATCACATTAGCACGTAAATTTTCATTTGATCCGACAATCATATTATATATATATATATACATTGTCTGATAAGGATTTTTAGTGGGTACGAAACAAGACCAAGCCCTAATCACTCGTATTATCGGGATTTTTACGTTCACCGTTTGCGTTTAACAAACAATAATAATATTATTATTAGTACATTATAAGATAATAATAATATAATGGTACGTGACTACTGGTCATATAATAATATTACACTTAACGCGAATCGGGTCGCCGTCGTCGTTCGTCACTCGATTGACTTGGATGTCTAAAATGTTTCTGAAAAAGATGCCAATTTCCGGGGGTGTTGCGTACGCGCGCGCCCGCCTTTAGTGTGATGTCGTTATTATACCATTGTGTTTACATAGATCGGTGAACCTGTAATGAATACCAAACATAAAATACGTATTTATATATACAGGATGTCCCGCTGAGATATACCAATTGCGGTATCTCGGAAAATACAAATTTGTTTTTGATATTTTTGATTCTGAGTGCAGCGAAGAAACTTATAGTTTTACAAAGATGTTTATTTTTTTTTTTCTGTGGACAACTTTTTTACCAGAAATTTAAGCGTAGCGCTTTTTTCTGAAAAGAAATCGGACTAGAAAGTACTTTAAGGAGATAATAAGGAGATAAGGCCGTGCTACAACACTTATGACGCTCCACTACTCTCCCTCTACCCAAACTTAAAAATGGAATATTTTGTGCACCGGGTTGACGGAATCAAACATTTCAACGCTATAATGTATTTAAACTAATCCATTTATGGAATTTTCAATATAGATTTCCGTTCGAAAAAACAATTATCGTTTGATAAAACAAGTGTGATTAAAAATGATGGCAATATAACATTTAATTAGAGCTATTTGTTCTTTTTTATTATTATTACAAAAAACATACAAATTCCGAAATAAGTTAATACTTTTCGATACATCACAATGAGTACATTTTCGTAGCGCACTTTGTATAGACATATTGTTTTAAAAAATGTTCGAACTGCAACGAGTTAGAACCACAAATAACTTGTAGTCTATGCGGTTAAAATAAACTATAAATAGTAAGTAACAGGTAATTTTATAAAAAAAAAAAAAATGCAATATTATAGGTATTATTGGTATTGGCTTAAATAAATAGCCGAGTAGACGTCGCGTTTTAGAGTGGTTTAAATACATTGTTTTTTTAAATTCAAGGCATGCAAACGTAATTAATCTGCTCACTCGGGGTCAGGACTCGAGAATTTTTGTCTCGTTACGTGCCTGCAGCTCCTATACAACTCTATGAAAACACAATGGAATATTATTATATTATCGATAACGTTAAAACAGATAATACCATTGAAAAACTAGAAATGTTATTGTCTTAATAAATACTTTTTATTAAAATAATGCAGCCATGTAAATTGCTATACAGGAATTATCTGTCTAAAACTTAATCCGATACGAGTAGGTATAATATTATTTATGTTAATTTTATACCTCTAATCTGTAATAATATAGTAGAGTCGAAAAATCGGTTATCTGTAAAAGCATCGAATTGCAACCGTTTATCGCGTAAAATAATAGTAACAATATTAATATTACAATATACAAACTACAGGGCCTATTTGTTGTCATTTTTCGTATAGGTACTACACGCAATTTGTCCAGAGTAAGCAGACTCAAACGGCCCCTCTTGGCCCCAAAATTTAATGAAATCACTTTTTACTACCACATTATTCTTAAACTTAGTTAAGCAATAAATATGGATACCATGACGAATTGTTTTTGCTAATATCGTCAAATATCATTAAACTTGAAGTCAAGCATAAAAAAAAATAATAATAATAATATTAAAGTAAAATTATTGAAAATTATACTATTATTCCCTTCTAAATCTTAAAAAAATTCACTACTACTTCAAATATACAAATATTATTGTCAATACCACACCGTCAATACTGAAGGTATGGTTTACAGTACCTATAACTCTCAAAGATTACCGTGTTGAGTATACTAGAATAGTGTTATCTGGATTTTGTTTTCTTTTAATTTTCAGTGTTAGTATAATTGTTATAGATTAACTGTTAATTAGTCATTCCATACTCATTAGTTATTAAACACACTGTACTTCATATTTGCACACATTGTGACGGATTTTATACAAAAATAGCCCTTTTTATGATCGAACTACTCGAATTAAATATCATATTATAATAAACAACGATAATTTTATTTTATTCTGATTACGTTGTTTTCACCGCATATCTGTATATTCGTATTTCGAACGAAATTATTAGAATACGAGTGTTGTAGCAGTATTGTGTTCGATAAATCGAGTACAGTTTTATGGCCGTCTTTTTAACTTTATCTTAATCTTGTTATTTACATTTAAAACTAATTATAATTTTTTTTTTTCGTTGTTACATAGAAGTATTTACCTATCCTCTAATATCTCAAGTGGCTGATAGTTTTACCGACTCGAGTATTTGCTTTTATTTTCAAAACACAAATTCCGACTATTATTATTACGAGAATAGACGCCGAGTACCTGAGGCACAGTGTGGTCCCCATTGACAATATTGAGTTCAGCCCCCAAACGTTTTACCGATGAAAAATATCCTTTATGATAACAATTATGTAAAATATTTATTCTTAACGGCTAAATTACTGAATTATTCCGCCATAAATTAAAAATTTTGATAAAAATGTTATAAAATAGAATATCAAGTTACACATAATATGATAAAAAAATGTTTTTTCAACACCTGTTATCACGAATAACTTGTTCATGTAGTTTCAGATATCTGAGGTTTCACGTGGTTCATACGATACCAAGTTAAAAACCGAGTGCATATTGGTAATAAACTGATAAATAATGATAGCTTCTTGACTAAAATAAATTTAACATGTGTTACTTACAAATTAAATTGTTTTCGAATGACAAAACCTATTCAAAATAGATAGTGTAGCTTAAGATTCAGAGCGGAGGGAGGGAACTATTCATTTTTCTATGATGTGTGCTTTTTTTTATTTTTTTCTGTCTGTAAACCACTTTTTAAAAATAAATCTTGCTCCTATGTATAGAGTATAGTACTTTTTCTGAAAGGAAATTTTGTCTAGTTGGTGCATTAGGAAAAGGACATTTTTTGATTTTCTAAGAAGTTGTCGAAATAATTGGGAAAAACTCTAAGTAAAACTATAGGTAAAACGGCAAATATTTACGTCGTTACCGTTTTCATCGTTTTTAATTTGTTCACACAATTTTTTCTACCAGACATACTGCTCCAATCGAAAAATGACAAGAAGTTGATTTTGTCGATTTTAACATATAACCACTGACAAAGAAATTGTTTGATATATAAAGTACTTTTCATAATAATTGAGAAGAACCAAAAAAGACGAAAAAAGTAAACTGATAATTTACGGCGTTGCGATTTCATTATTTTTGTAGTCGTAATCGTTTTCTTTAATTTTAATCCGCATGCGAACTGACAACATAGTAAATATTGCGTTGTGCAATATATAATTATAATTGAAATATGATTTATGATGATAATAAGATGAAATAATGAATATTGACACTATCGTATAACTTATTTTATTTGTCTAATAAGTGGTATTTTATACAAAAAGTAACAGATAACTTGTCCGTAATTATTATATTCAACAAATAAACTTATTCTGGTATAACGAAAAAGTTACATCTATTAAAAAAAAAAAAAAAAAACTGTATAGTCTATATAACTCTTTCGTATGACAATTTTTTAGAAAAAAAGCTATACGCGCAGCTCTTGGAAATATTCTCCGCTTTAAATTTTGTTATTTTTGTGTCTATACTCTAATCTCAACCTAAACGCTACAATTTACGTCCTGAATTAACTCGATTTTCCGTCAGACGATACGTGCGGGTATGACATCCCGTTAAAATTATTACCTATTTTAACTTTGTATCATATGGATTTACAAATAATGTCACACTATGGCATGACTAGACTAACGGCAGCGGCAGCCTAGCTAATGACCGGCGCCACTTAATGAACCGAAAAAATCCCCTTTGTTTCATTGCCATTCCGTACAGGCGTACATTCTACAAAAAATTATTTTAGAGTCTTAATTTGCATTCGTCGGTACCGGATTTTAAACGAATAAAAATGAGTAAAAAGAAAAAATTTGTATTGTACCTATTTATCAGAGGTTGTAGATAAAAATATCCGAGGAATAAATGTCCAGAGGTAAAAATGTCCGATAAAAAAATGTCTGGCTTGTACTCAAGGATGGAATCTTAGGTTTTCAAAATTATTTTCACATTCCCAACCAGATATTAATTGAAAAAATGCGGTTGGAATTGGGGGTAGACCAGTGCAAAACAGGTCAAAGGGAAAATATCGAACCACCAAAAAAAATATAAAAAATAAATATGAAAACGTTTTGAAATTCGTATCCTTAAATTTAATTAATATTTTATAATATAGTAGAAAAATATATATGTTTTAATCAGTTTTATTGGCATTTTTATTACTTTTAAGACCAAAATCAAGAAGATTATTAAACCTATTAATATTATTATTACGTCTTAAAATTTTATTTTATTTCTTATTTATATATATACATAAATTATAATTTTAAAGGTATTATATTTTTTACCTCCGGACATTTTTTTTCTCGGACATTTTGGTGTAACCCCTTATCAGAGTTTTTCTACAGAAGTATATCCTAGAATGTATACTTACTGATTAACCAGGCGGTTATATCTCCTTGTGAAAAAGCCGGTGATACCTGTTAAGTAAATTGTATACAGGTGAACCGTACGGTTGGCCATGCACAATTTTGGTGGTCGTCCAACAAAGTATACCCGTAGCCTCCGCTAACTCGAGCACTTTGATGTCTCTTACTGTGTTTGCTACGGCACTCGTCGTCATAATATGTTTTTTGACAGGACATTCTGATTAATTTAGGTGGTCGGCCATCAGAATACCGTAATCTTCGCTAACTCGGGCACTTTGATGTCTTCCACCGGACCCTCAGATATGTCCTTGATTTTCACGCTCATTAAGACGAAACGCGTGAAACGGTTACACGTACTACTTGCAAAACGTCTCTGTAATTAAATTTAAAACTCATAAATCTAATGGGTCAATCATTTCTAACACACTTAAAACATCATAAGTATAATTAATAAAGACGCAAATCGTAATAACATTGCGGGACAATATATTCGAACTTTTGCATAGAAGTTTGCTTAGGTAAGGTTTGAGGTCAACGGCCTCGCCAGTGACAAATAATATGCCCGTGGATTATTTTATGACACTTAAATTAAAAAATAAAACAAAATGAGACTAACACAGTTTTCTTCACATGCATAAAAAATGGAATATAAAATAAGAGAGTGAGGGTTAGTCCCCCCAAATAAATATTTATATAATTTAAAAAATTCTGTATTATCTATTTACAATAATAATATACAGTATTTTAAAAACCTTTAAATTTAACTAAAGAAATATTATTCATGTACAGGACTGGATTACACCGCCACATGTAAGTAATTAACAAAAAAATATATGATGTGTTATGATATAGAAAAATAAAAAGACGTGGATGGATGCAGTCACTGTTATAGGTAACTTAATGTATACCTATGAGCAACAATAAACTATTGCTTACGAAAAAAAGATCCTGAGCGGGGTTCAGTTGAAAGTGATGCTTTGTCAACAATATATATGCCATATTATAGTAAAATAATTAAATAGGCTTTTATATTTTCTTTAATAATATTTGTTTAATGTTTTCCTGATTTTCCCGGTTTTCAAATTTTTTTCCCCGGTTTTTCACATTTGCTGGGAAAACGCCTAAGAAAATCGAAAAATGAGCTATCTAAAGTACCTCCCCCCGCACCGATTTCCTTTCAGAATAGATGCTACACACATTTTTTAATAAAAAAATGAAAAAGACAGACATACTTCGCACGTGATCCAGCCACTAATGTAGGTGAGAAGTTGGGTAGGTAGAAGAGGGGAAATTGAATGTATATCTGAAATCAATGATAAACCATTGTTAACGAAAAAACGATTCTGAGAGGAGTTCAGTTGATAGTGTTGCTTTTTCAACAATATATATTTGCTTTAATAATATTTGTTTAATATTGTACCTATTTTCACGTTTTTCCTGGTTTTCCCGATTTTTCCCATTTTTTGGGAAAACTTCTGGAGAAAATCAAAAAATTACCTCCTATAAAGTACCTCCCTAGTCCCCAGTATTTTAGAAAAAGTGTTATCATTGTATAGGAGCAAGATTTCTAATTGTTTACAGATAAAAAAAAAAATAAACATCTTTGTAAAACCATAAGCTTTTTTACTCTACTCAGAATGTAAAATGTATAATAATTATAAGATTGTATTTTAAACTTAAATACTTTTCGTTCTGCAATACAGAGTGTCCCACAAAGATATACCCATTGTAATATCTCCTCCGGAGATAATGAAGATAATCAAATTCTATTTTTTTTTTTTTTAACATATTACTCACAGTGATAAAGACTACAAATATGTATATTGTAATTAATTTTTTATTTTATTATTTCTAAAAAATTTAAATATATTCATTATATAGTTTATTTTTCTGAACATTTTGATATAACAACTATTTATTTTCATTAAATTCGTGATTTTTAATTATTTTTTAAAGTTCAAAGAAAATAAGCGTACAGTCAATTTATCGTAATAATAATATTCAATTAGATAATCCAATTACAGCTTGCTGTATAGTTATAATTACTTTTCTCTGAACTTTAAATAATTATTAAAAATCACGAATTTAATGAAAATAAAAAGTTGATACGTCAAAATGTTCAGAAGAATATAAACTCTATAAAATGGCTAAGTTAAATTGGTAAACGGAAAATCGGTACGGTCTATTGTATTTTGCACAAGAGAAATGTAATTAGCCGGATATTGGTACTATAAAATATTTTATTTTCAGTGGTTCAAAAATGTGTCCAAAATTAAATTAAATATAAATTTACAATATATAATAATATTTACAACAATAGTTTCCTTGTGATAGGTTAACATAAATAGTCATGTTATTAAACTTCCCCGTTTTATTATATGCGCTCTCGTCTTCGGTCTTGAATTTGACTATTGTTGAGAGTTCGGGTGTCCGTGCCGTTTTGATTGTTTATTTAATTCTTCGTAGGCAAGATATAATACGATGCAGTGTACTTAATATGATTTATTTTTTTTATTATCATTTAATTTAAGAAACTCTGATTTTTAACGACCGTAACAATATTGCACGTTCAAAACAACAGTACCATTTTCCGATCAATCTTTGAATTTTTCAAAAATAATAAAATAAAGGTGTTTTTGTTAAATTTTTTACCAAAATATAAAAAATGAATTGCAATATAAATATGTGTATTCATTATCCAAGTGGGTAATTGGAACAAACCAGAATTCGATTATCTTTATTATCTCCGGAGATATTACAATGGGTATATCTTCGTGGGACACCCTGTATAATAACAAAACAATAATACATAATATATTATGTTTAAAAGCCTTCGCACAAATACTATACGAATTGTTATTAATCGAAACGCCAATTTCAAAATTGTGCGCATAACGTTAGTTCGATATATTTTATTTGTTAGCTATCGACTACTATTTTACAGATATAATATTTTCAACTTCCTATCTGTAAATAATAATATCAGAGTTGGAACGTATAATACAGTAAAGTATAAAACACGTAATATACGTATGTGTATACGTTTTGTATACAAAAATTTTATTTTTTTTTTTACAATTGTAAATTGAATTTAATCATCATTTTATATATTTTATATTATTTACCTAAGATATTTGTGATAATTTGTTATATTACCTAATAACTTCATCTTTATTCTTTATTAATAACTACATTAATATTTATAATACCGAAAAATAATTTGTTTTGTTTTTATTTTATCTTAAATTTAAGAAAATTCACCAAGTTAATGTGATTTGTTAATTTACTAAATTAATTTATAAATTTAAATACTTAAAATTTAAAATTTACAGTATTATCACCATTATAATAAACTTCAAAATAAAAATGTCAGTCGTTATAAAGTTTTATAGTTTTTAGTCATTTTATACATTTTATACGTTGGGTATTATATGTGTAACGTATACAACTTTTTATATGCGTATGTTACAAACCCTGGATAATATACGGCTAACAGTAGCGTATTTCAGTGAGTAGATTAGAGTGAGTATATTATACTACCTTAAAAGGTCTATATTGGCCTTTTTTTTTTTTTTTTAGTATAATATCTATTATTTATACGATTTAAAATTCAAATTTCTTTGCATTTTAATCAGAAAAATCAAAAATGTGTTCATATTTATCAAATATACTTCATATAATACATTTTCTTGCTTAAAACGAAACCACTATGAAACGAAGACGTTAAATGACTATCTACATAGTACGTGAACTATAATACAATTTACTAATACCTAGTTATTTGATTTCAATTTCAACGCAGGCTGAACGGGTTCGGATATGTGTGCATTTTAAACAACTATAATATATATATATATATGCATTTACGCGCTAAAAAATTATCAAATATGTATCATTACGTATGCATTTTTAATTGAATAAAACACCAAAATATGCACAAAACAATTTATTTTACCTTAAGTATTTAATTTTTATTAGTATTTTTTTAGTAGTTACTTTTATTTATTACTTTTTTAGTATTACTTATTAATTTGTAGTAAAAGCATTACGGCGTGATACGATAGTTATTATTTTTATTTTTTTTAATAATTTGTTCAAATTGTATGCTTTTTTGCTTTTTAGTTCGCTATTAATTTTTATTGTTTTTAAAAAAGTTCGACGATTTACTGAAATATACATTTATATTCTTAAAATCCTAAAATATGCACAGTAAAAATAGTGGTATTTTATTCAGTAGAACATGAATTAAATTTGTATCCAGGTCAGCGTTGAATTGGATAAACAGAAAAAAATACGCAATTTCATAAACATCCGATCCCTTATAATAATCTTACACGAATGTATAAACTAAAGATTAATCTTTTTTTTTTTTTTTTGTGTTGTGACTGCAGACTGCGTGTTATACAAATATGACACGATTTCCAAATTTAATATCTCCGTCCTCGGCGAAATTCTAAACGCGCCACTGACACCTATATAATGGTTTAATGTAACATTTAAAATTTTAAACTACAACAAGTAGGTACCTACCATTATCGATTGTGTTATTATAACAAATAATCAAATCCGCAAGTTTCTTCAACCGCACCTATACAATATAATACAGTGAAACCTCGCTTAACGGACACCTCCAAATAGTAGCGGACGTATTTTTTCGGGAACGTTTTCCCTTTTTTCACTGTTTATGTATAGGAAAAACGCTAAATACAGGACACTCTATAAATAACGGACACTTGTTAACATTGGTATTGATCATTTTTATCGTAAATTAAAAATAATTGTGGAATACCTAAATAAAAGTCTACACTATTAAGTCATTTTTTATTACTATCTGTGTACAATATTATACTATACATCATGGCGTATATCTTATATTATCCGTCCAGTCGTTGGCATATTATCGCATCGATGAAATGTTGTAACTTTAAGATGTATTTAATTAATGTAAAAATCTATTTATTAATTAATTAAAGAAAAATACAATTTCTCCCTCTAAATAACAGACACCTCTGAATAGCGGACAAAATTTCAGCGACCGAGAGTGTCCGGTATTTAAATGTCTCGGGTTTCACTGTATATTAATAATGAAACGCCGTGACTAGGCACCTATAATACTATATAGGTATACGGTAAGCGGTTAGGTATTATACGTGTGCGTTTGTAAAGTATCTATTTCGAGAGCGAACGTTTCGTTTGTAGAAAACTGTGCACGCCCAATTGTCCATCGTGACTTCCAAGATTTTTGTTTTGTTTATAAATTCCGAACTGCTCTTTGTCCACGTTTATGTACTGACGTTGTCAAACAGATCACGTGCTTAGGGTAAAATTGCACTGAGCTCTACACACACGACGATAATTCCCACAACTGAATTCTCATTGACATAATATCCACGATTGTTTTCTCCGCTTATTACAATCAAGACAGACTATCAAAGTGAACAAGATATCGGTGCATTTTATCCTTTCTCTCTCTCTCTCTCTAAATATTCCAACGTAACTTGATTTAAGCACTATAAATATAATAATATATGGTATCCGGCCGAAACAGCGCAGATAAAAATAGCGAATTTTAGAAAAGGGCGACAATATATTATAGTAATACCGTTAAGTTCATTATGTATTTAGGTATTAATAATTTGGGTATTTAGTGATAATAACAATTTTATAAAAGATCATTTTTCCCAATGAAATACTTATAGGGGGCTACAGCAAATATTTTTTTCACAAGTATAACACATACCCATTACAGTAATAATAAAAAAAAAAAAATAGAACGGACATACTTCGCACGTGGTGCAGCCACTGTTGTAAGTGAGAAGTTGATAAGGTAGGGTACAGACAGGAATTTAATGTACATCTATAAGCGACGGTGAACTATTGCTAACGAAAAAACGATTCTGGGCGGAGTTCAGTTGATAGTGTTGCTTTGTCATCAATATGTATGTCATATTATGGTAAAATTATTACAACAATGTGAGTTTCCATAACAAAAATGATTGTTTAAAAAAAGATTTAAATAATAAAAACTTAATAATAACAAAAAATTAACAAAAAACAGTGGTCAATGATAACCTTATTTTTAATCTTTCAATATTTTTGAACCTAAAGACCGAGGTTTTCCTCATTATCTCGAATATTTATGAGAATTTCAAATAATGACCTCTCTAAAGTACCACCCAAAGAACATTTCCTTTCAGAAAATATGCTATACTTGATAATCGGTGTATGCTTTCTGGTAGAAAGTGTTCACATAAATAAAAAAAATGAATAAATAAACATTTTTGTAAAACCAATACATTTTTCGCTTAACTCGGAATCTAAAACAATTAAGTATTTGGCGGACAATTTACACCTTATACCTTTTTAAAAAAGTTCTCATTTTCATTAGTATTATAATTTGTAATTTACATACGAGTTTCGCTAATTTCGCGTAGACCCATGTCTAGGTATTGTATGTAATACCTACGTCATTTTATAAAATAACTATAGTTATTCCATAAATAGTTCCTAAATAATAGGCTCGTGAATTCACGAATTACGTGATTTTACCAGTTAATATATTATGGAATACCAGTTGGTTTTTCGCTAATTTATGTTATTTATAGCCATCGTATATAACCAGGAGTAGATAACATATAATAAATAATAACAATAATAAATACAGACTCAACCTACCTGTAAGATAAGATAATATTGAACCCGCAACATACCACATAGGCTAGACGTCTTGTGATAGTGTCCAGGAACTAAATGTGTTATAATAAAACAACTTTAGGTGATTTAGTATATTACGTGCAGAAAGGTTCGTTACGTTCAGTGGCAACCCAGGCGGAGATAAGTACCTATTTGTCTTTGAAAGGCATCCGAATCCCAGTCACAATGTACCGGTCAACGGTTTTTCAAATGCACATGCCAACAAAAGTGCACCACAACACGGTGCATATGTTTAAAACAAACCGTACTTTGAACTCTAAATGCCACCCAAAAAGTTTGTGTACTTATATATGAAAATTATATAACAACGTAAAACGTACGCATTTAATTTTGATTTAATATTAAACATTTTTTTTTTTAAAAAAAAATCTGTTATTTGTTTATTATTTTAATAGTTTAATGATTCTAACAAATTGAAGTTCCACAAATCAGAATGAACTTTTTCAAAGTGAATATTTATATTTTATGTATGAATGTAATAGATAATTTCGAATACAATAATTAAATCGTTATTTTAATTTATAAAATATCTATTTAGTATGTAGAATAACTATAATACATATAGTTGAAGTATGTATTTTTGTATTCATTCAACGCATTAACGCTAACACATACATGTATTATAACACGTACTTACCTATACACACAACGCAGTATTACGCATTATCATCAGGATTATCAGAATGGGGAACTGTTAAATTCAGGAACGATACACAAGGTGTCCCACGAAGATAAAACCATTGTAATATCTCCGGAGATAATAAAGATAATCAAATTTTGTCGTTGTTTTTTTTTTTTTTTTTATTACTCGTTGGAATAAGGTCCACAAATATTTATGTTGAAATTAATTTTTATGCTTTGATAAAAAACTTAGAAATAATAACTTATTGTTGAAAAAATTAAAGATACCTAGCCATCTTGTAGAGTTTATTCTTCTGAAAATGTTGACGTATCAATTTTTATTTTCATTAAATTAATGATTTTTAATAATTTTTTGAAGTTCAGAGAAAAGAACAATAACAAGAATAAATTCTATAAAATGGCCATCTCTTCAAATTTTTCAAAAATAAAGTCTTTTTTAAAGTTTTTTACCAAAACATAGAAAACTAATCGCAGTATAAATATTTACAGTTTCAGTGAGCAATATATAAATAAAAAAAAAATCAGAATTTAATTATCTTTATTATCTCCGGAGATATTACAATGGGTATATCTTCGTGGGACACTCTGTATTACCATACGGTTTTTTCAATAATATATCACTTTTACGAACGATTGAAATTGAGAAAATATTTCACAGAAACGATAAAAATTAGGAAATTCATATGAGCTTCGCATCATTCGTTTCATGTTTTATGAGAAAATCTAATCGTTCCCAACTTTATAGATAACTGATAGGATCTAAAGAGCCTGGATAATTAATTTCCTAGGCTCTCCCGTAGGATCTACGATCCGTGTTTTTATCAATGGTTTTCGAAGAAAAAAATTAGTAAGTAGGTATTATTACAGTTTTATTACCTACATAAATCTACTTTAACTTTAGTATAACAAAGAATAATTATTGTCATTTGTTTTATTTACAATATGAGAAAATAATTAGCATTTTATCGTTTCTTTATAATTATCTATTTCTAATCAGTTTCTTAATCATTTTGTTCCTCTTATTTTTACGTGCTTCTCACATTATTAGCATTACACATACTACATAACTAAATGCAAATATTACATTATGCTGTTTTATCGTCTATTTTCACTTTTCCGCAAATAAATTGTCCCTATGTCCCGTACACATTTTCGCTTTGCCTTACTATGTGGACATGTGTAATTTTCTAAAAGTTTTAAACGAAAACAATCGTAATTAAATATTTATTCGCAACTAAAAGACTTGATTGTGATCAATGTAACCGCATTACGTGTTTGACGGATGCACATCTCGGTGTTGAATTACTCATCTGCTAAATGTGATTATTAACTGTAAGTTACGATTAGTCCAACATAAAGGTGTCCGATTTCCCAAAATCGTTTGTCAATCACAATTATTTCTATCAAACGCCATCGATCGTCCACCATAAGATATTAAGTGTGCCCTTTTTATATTATAATAAGTACAACACCTAATTAATAATATCATGTGTATCGTATTGTATCATTATTTCTTTTATTATTATTATTATTATTATTTTTTTTTTTTTTAAATCACGAAGTCATATATTTTTCGCGAAATATGCTGACCAGACGTAATAATACTTATTATATACCTACCTTGGTAGATACTGGTAAATCGATTACTTTTTTTGCCTCGGTTGAATACATAACATCCATTGCATATATTATTATCTATCGAGAAAATTGTCATTATATGTACCTAACTTACGTATATATATATATATACTTTTTTTTTTTTTAAATGTACAAAAAACAAATTTTAATCTGCTTACTTCGCACAAAAACATTTCAATAACAATTTTTTCTTATCTGTTCTACGACAATATTTATATTATAATATGTTTATATAGTTAATATTACTCTACATTATATTATAATATAGTGCTTTAAAACGTTATAATATTTCCGGCGATAAGAAAATTTCCATCGGTTAGATGGATAATATTATCCATCCAACCGAAACTTTACCGGTTTTGTTATATTTTTCAGAGTAAATTTATTTTTGAAAAAAAATTAATAATAATAATTATAAAATATTTTCTTTCTAAATACGGGTAACAATATAAGTAGGTATTAATAGGACGCGTTACCCGCATACTGTTTGGCTGCATCCGAGTTCCGTCCCAATAACCTTTTTTTATACCAATTCCGTCCCGGGTGAAAAAAATGTATATACCAATTCCGTCCCAATTATAAATGTTCTTATAAATGTTAAAATACTTAAATGTTAAATACAAAAAATTCAACGTAGTCTATACTTTCATAAATACAAATCTGTTTCTAGATTAAATTTATATGATATAAAAAAATAATAATTTATACAGACATTTTTCTTATCAATGTTAAAATACAGAAAAAATTCAAATAATATTAAAATATTAATGTATACAATTTAATTTAGTGCGATAACTGAAAGCAATATTATCTTCATTTCCAAATAATATTTAAAAATATTTATAAATTGTTATCGTAGTCGTAAATTGTATACTATATTAACATATTGTAGAAAATTCAAAACGGGACGAAACTTGTGTGACTAAATAAATTACACGGGACAGAATTAGTACATCCATTTTAAAAACCCGGGACGAAACTAGTATATCCTTAAATTCGAATTTTGCATTTGAGACGGAACTCGGATGCAGCCTACTGTTTCCGTCTTACGAACGTACAAATGTAGCAGATTTCGTTCGGCAGGGATGACTTCGGGCTGTTAGTTTTCACATTACGTTGAATCGATCTATTATCAAACTCCTTTGAGTAAGCGTAAGACAATTATTCGTCCTACAAGCATTTAGTGTATACATATCAGTATCGGTAATTTACGCGTATAAAACGTAAAAAACTTTATAAAGACTGACTTAATATTTTTTTTTTTTGAAATTTATTATAACAGTGATTATATTGTACATTTTAAATTTTAATAAATATTTAAACTACTAAATTAGTATAACAAATTAACAAATCGCATCAATTTGGTGAATTCGCTGAAATCTAGAATAAAATAAAAACAAAACAAATTATTTATTTTGGTAATATAAATACCAATGCAGTTATTCGTACAGAATAAAGATGAACTTAGTAATAAATATAACAAGATTATCACGTATATTTTATGTAATTAATACAAGACAATAATGTTTGAAACGATGATTAAATTCAATTGACAATTATTTCACCTGATAATTTCTGTGTTCGGTTGTCGCCAAGAAAAAAAAAAAAAAATTGCATACACTATAAAACGTATACACAACTAATAGTTTTATACTGTACGTATAAAATACGTTTTTTTTTTTTTTTTTTTTTTTTTTTTTTTATGCTTTACTGTGCCATACGTCCCAACCATGTCAAATAAATAATATATAATCTAAGAAACGTGATAAAACAACATCGTTTTATTTCGTATGTACCTGAAAAAAATAAACAACTAAACGAAACGATGTTTTGAATTCGAATACAAACTATAACATAAAATAACCTAGGACTGTATCGTAATATAGGTATTATTTAATGTGTGCAATCAATACACCTATAATACTAAATGAACCGTAATAACATGTTTTATCTGCGGGTTTCAAAGATTGCGGGTTGTAGTGAGTACATGCACACAATATAATGCGCCGCGTGAACCGTGCACATTTTATCGATGTAATAATATAATATATGCAACAACCGATATAGTCATGCGCGAATCGCTATACTCACATATTAAGATACGGTATAATAATTGAGTATACGTTTTTTTCTTCTACAACTACTAGGAGGTAGTCGTGTATATTATAATAATAACATAATCCGCGAATAATTAACGTTCAAAATAAAATTTTTACCGCGACGACGTTACGCGCGCAACTAATATCATTGCGTCATCTGTCGACGGGGAGGGGAAAAAAAAAACAGAAATAATAGCTTTTTTTTGCAATCACATTTTCGTATATTAATCATAATAATATTATATTATAATGATGGCGACATTGTCTCTTTGACCCGATACTTAAAAATAATTGTCGGGTTCAAAATATGAATATTATAATATATTACGTACTATGTACGTATTATGTGAGACGATTATCATTATTATAACATGAATATTGAAATCTAATTGTATTTTTTTTTTTTTCTATAAATCGTTTTAACTTCTGTATAGAAAACTAGTTATAATTATTGTTGAAACAGTCTGTACACGGGGAACTGGCCAAAACACAATCTGCGGTAGACGATATTATGACAGTATATTTCACTCGAAACGCACGATATAGACTGGTGCAGATAGGTAGAAATCCCAGAGACTCCCAGCCATACGCGTAGGATGCGTGGTGGCTAAAGGCGGGGAGGCTACAGCCTCCCCGAAATCTCCAATAGCCCCCTCAGCATTCCTTACGGCTTTCCCTGAAATGAGCACGTGGGTAAAAGGTTTCCTTTTTTTTTTTTTTTTTGCAAAAATTTACAAAATATAATTATCTAACTGTACATAAAACTAATTTTACACAATCGATACAAATAAATGCGTATTTAAAAGTATTGTTTCGGGTTTGAAAATTAGATTTTGAACAGTAAGTTTAAAAATTGGAGTTGCTATTGGCCAATTTATGAAATTCATATGATATGATGAAAGTTTAGCATTTATTGAACAATACAACTTAAAATCTATTATTATATTATATTATAGATTTTAAGTACCTATAACGAAAGAGCTATTAGTGATACAATGAATTGTTATTTTTTTCTAGTTTTAAAATGGTTTAATTTTTGTCACGCAGTATCAATAAATGTATATTTCTGGCTAATATTACTTTGTTTGAAATATTTGAAAAAAAATTACATTTCCGAAGAATAGTTTTGGATTTATGGATATTGGATTGGACCAAATTGATCCGGGTTAAATGTCCAGAACTAATATAGACCGATCACGGTAGTCGTTGTAAACACTATTCATAACGATTTTACGGCCTTTGTGTTTTCTTTTTCTATTCAAGAACAAACATAACGATATTATAACCTATCGATTTTGTAACACGTGCGACCTACCCACCTAAATACATAATGTAATGTATCACCAATGTTTATTTCTTCGCTATCTCAACGAAATCGCAAACACAAACCCAACAATAGGTATTATTATTATTAATCCGGTGTAATACATATTAAACACACCTACAAGCTATAGACATGGTAATATTATAAATATAACACGTATTACGTTTTTGATAAAAAATAATATTATAATTGAACCGATTTTTTTATAATATGATTACAGCTATTAGTCGTGATTATTATGCGTAGCGTGCATTTTTAGACATTATAATATTGTTCCGTTGTCTGGTTGGTTTCACTAGATTTATATTGTTTATGCTTTGTTTTGTTTTGTTTTGTTTTTTTTTTTTTAATGAAAAACGTCATCACGGAAACGTCCTCGAGATAATATAGTATAATAACAGAGACGTATGTATTTAGGGGGAATGGAGGGTGAACGTCCTGTACGGAATTTTTTCGCGGACGGGATTTTTAAACATGACATTTATACCTATAACGCAAACACCATTAAAATGTATGCTTTCGCCTCTCAATACAATTGTGATTCATTGTAATATTATTTTAATTTTATTAATTCATTATTGTCATACACTCGAACTGAAAAGTAAAAAATGTTCAGTTTTAAAATGGTATCACGGCCTTAGATATGTAATATGAATGTACACATTATACCGATCATACGCTATATACTATAATACTCAGTACTCACTGTATGAGTGCGCACTGATATCAATATTACTATACAGTAATTAAACAGTTGTTACAATAATATATGCAATTAAATAGAACTTTCCTTTAAAAAATGACCGACATACTTCGCACTTTGATATTATAATGCGTATGAAAAAGACATTAAACTCAATTTTTTTTTATTTGACCATAAAGTACGACTTCTAGTGAACTGTTCAACTTTCAATAATTTCTGTTTAGTCTAGCAATTTTATCTACAGAGTACTTACCAAAAAAAATTACTTACAAAATTAAAATGTCTATAAATAGGTAGCATAAATATTGCTCAAATGTTTTTCCAGTTTTACCACTTCTAGAAAAGGCAAACATACTAGAAAATCAAAAAATTACCTCCCTAAAGTAACATGTAGATGAAATTTTCTTTAATAAATGGTGGTACACATGATAAATCGGAGCAAGATTTTTGATAGAAAAGTTGCACAACAAATTGAAGGATATTTTTCGATTAAAATGCTCTCTAGGTACATCCAAAATGCATTTGTTTTTTCATAACTCGGGTTCGAACTCACGAACCTTAACATGAAAATAGATAACTATATCCATTAGACTACGAAAAACATGAATACTTTAAAGAAGACAATATATAATTATTTAACATAACGTATACTATCCGCATATCAAAACTTCAAAAAGCTATAATTTCGAAACCAAGTCAGCCCACTCAATTCTGGCTTCGCCATCGTTCTTAAATTGGCAATATACATATGTTCAAAACAAAAAACAAATAAATTTGAAAAATTAGGTTTATTCCACATCATTTTTTACTCAAACGATTTTCGTCAAGATTTAATATTAAAATTTTTATATAAAAAAAAAAATACTACATTTGGCTAATTTTTTTTTTTTAACATAAAATACAACTTTTAATAAACCTCCTGTTAAATTTTCAAGCATTTCTGTCTAGTCTAATAGTTTTACCACAGAGCACCAAGTATAAATTACGTACAAAACTCGCAAAACTAAAATGACTATAAACAGCTCAAAATAGGCTAAAGCTTTTTCAAAATGTTACCATGTTTAGAAAGTCAAATATGAATTTGCTGTCCAAATTGCAAGTCTCTCCGGATATTTTTAACTGAATTACAACAAATAACAAAATTTAAAATGATAAAAAGCATTATTTTCGTAAATTTCCCGTTTATCTCGGGTTTTCCCAGATATTACGAAAACCGCTTGGAAAATCACAAGATAACCTCTTTAAAGTACCATCTAGACAATTTTCGCCTTTCATAAAATGCGCTATACCTATGCATGGGAGTAAGATTTCTGGTAGAATTTTTGTACACGGTATAAAAAAATAAAAATTAAATATCTTCGTAAAACCAATATATTCTTAGCTACATTCAAAATCTAAAACATAATAATACGTTTACATGTGTAACAAAATGCATATCAATTAAATAAAATTGACGAAGAATATTACGTCTTAACTCAACGATAACAAATGATACACAGTTAATTCGTTTTAATTACCTACTTTTATGCGCATACAATATGTATTCCTATTATTTATATATGTTTTAACCTTCATTGGTCCCGCAGACTGAGTACAATAAATTAAATAATCAAATATCACATCTTATGTAATCCATTATTTATCTTATTTTAGTTTTTTTCTTTTAAAATGTGTACAAAGTTTTGCAATTAAAACACATTAACTGTGTATACGTTCGAACGTGTACTATTCGTCAAATATTATTTGAATGTATTTGTCTTTATTGCTCGTTTAAAAATGTTCGAAAACTAAGTCTATAAAAACTTAATATACTACGGAAATTTCGTGTATTTACGATTATTTTTCGTCAAACTACAAAAAAAAAAAAATAAAATAATAATAACAATGATAATTAAACCGTAATTTCCATCATAAAACGTTCCCGTTTGTTCCCGTTTTTACTAGTTATTATGGAAATTACAAAGAAACTCGAAAAGAAACCACCATATGCACAAACCAGACAAAATTTTCTTTCGGGAAATATGTTACTTTTAAAATGAATGCATGGAATTATAGACGGATTTATAATTTGTAATAGATAAACTTCATATTAAGTGTTTATTTAAAATTAACTATAAACATTATTAGGTAACCATACTGTGTTTTAATGCGACTAACAAATAGATAATTGTGTCAATTTCTAAATTTAGAACGAACGGATAATGATTTTTGAAAAATTAAATCAATTTAAGGTTAAGAGGACGCTGGGGAGCTCGACAGCCGGGGAAGCAAAATTCGCATTCGTAATTGTATAAATTCTCTTTTGGTAATAATATTATTATTGTAGTCTAGATTATAATTATTTTTAACGTATGTAGAGGGCGCTATATCGTTTGCAAATGAATTCATAGTTTTTAAATTACTGTAATATTTCGAAAAATGAATTTTAAAAAAGAAACGCATCGTCGTTTTACCTACCCACCGGAATATTGTCCTCTTTTTGATTTTGGAATAGAAGCTTTTACCCTAAAACCAAAATTAAACGAGTCACGCGCAGTCTGTGCACGGTAGATTTTGCTACATATAGTTGGACTGGCACAGCACATGCGAGTACAAGCGTGTCCTCTTAATATGTTATTAATGATTGTAGTCTAGAGAACGGGATTATACGACAATAATACGTACGATCGAATCTCATTTATAAAAAAAAAAAAAAAAAAACGTCGCCGCGGAAATGTATTGAGATATACCTAACCTAACCTATCTAATTCCAGTATCGGATATTTTCAAATTGCACCGATATGTTGGATTATTCTACCGGTGTTACGATAAGTTGCGTGTGCCTCCGCGGCGTAGCGCAGCGTCGTGCCGTGACGTCATTCCCGAAAACCGCGGTCGTCGCGCAACGCATACAAATCGACGCCTGGCGATGCATCATAATAACAACAATTATACCGTGTGTTTTATAATCGCTCGGTTAACGATTTTTCATTATTATTATTATTACAAGTATTATTATTGTTTCGACACCACGCTCGACAATGTCCGGGCAGATCCGACAATATTATTTAATGTGTCTCGGACCATCCGTTCGTACGCGCGGAATTAATTCCTGTAATGGGTTCGGGTGACGGCGTGTCGATGACGTACGGTCAGGTTACACAATCCGTCCAAGAATATTATTCCGTGTGTATCAATAGTGCGATTAATGATAACTATATGGCGGCGGCATGTTCGGCATGTGATGTGCGCTCAGCATTTTCATGAGGCGATACGGGAAACGGCGTTCCGAGAACAACTGGCTACGGGTACGAAATCATTAAACGCAATTTCGGATTGAAACATTGGTACGATACTCGGTACCTACCGACTTCTTCTACCGAGAATACGTCCGTTTTCACAAAATATAATGCAACACAAACGTCACAATGATGCAGAACACTAAGTAAATAAACGATGAATTTATATCGAAAATTGTTTCCGTGTATCGATAAAAAAAAGATAACAGTTGAGTTGTTATAAAACGAAGAAAAAAAAAAAAAAAACAAGGTCAATAGGGAAATACGTTAGGCACGAAACCCCACCTACCATCCCACGTGAACGCGCTCCCGATGTACAGTGGCGCCGGACACGGCGTTCCGGTCCGATCAACACCGGGACATTATTTGTTCTTCTTTCGGGGCGGCGTTAGTTGATTAATTATGAATATTATCCGATCGATTTGCGTACAATATGGTCAGCGTTGTTTTACTTATTCACTCGCGTTAGTTGTGTTCCGTTGTTGAAGCACGAAACGGTGTAACATCGCCAATTATTCATTCTTCGAACTTGGACGGACGCTTAGAGTTCCGGGAACGGAATCGTCGAAATTAGAGCTGCGTACTTAGTCTCAGCAAAAACACGTACCCGATCGCATAAAAATCCGGTCGCTAGTTTTTAACAAGACGTGCGTTTCTTATATTGCGTTAGAAGAAAAACAGCTTTTTTTCAATTAAACATTTAAATACGAACCTAGATTCCGTTGACTTTTGGTTTTACTCTGGTTACGCGGCGGATGGAGATATATCTGGGCCTTCGCCAATTTTTTTTTTTTTTCAAATTTATCGTAAGAGGAGAAGGGAGGGGCTCCCTACTAGATAAAACACGCATTAATCATATATTATGTTACGAGTTTTGATAGGCGCATACAGATAGATATTGTTGCACACAATAAACGTGGACTAAGAAGGCCGACACAAATGCGTCGCTGCGGGTCCTACTACGCCAAAAGCTGACAAAAAAACAAAACAACAAATACAAATTTTAATAGGCTTTTTTTTATTTCTTTAATTTATTCACATTTAATTATGTTGGAACGATAATATGTATTTTATCGTTATTCTACATGTAATATTAAAAAAAAAAAAACAACACGGCACTTATACGTAAGGTAGAAATTTAAATAATTTATGGACGCTACAGTTTTTCCCAAATGATATTGGTCACTATATTTGGTTTGTCCGGACAAAGCCGGTCCAACATGACGGCTCGCCCAATTATCGTGGGCACTATTCTAGAATTTGTCCGATTTTCGGCTTTTACCCGCAACATAATATACTGACGTTTCAAATTTTCAACTCGATAAATGGACGTATTTGGTATTTCGTAATCGAACCGTTAAACCGTTTGAACGCCACTCTCGGAATTAATTCCGCAATTCGCAAATCGCAGACTGGGAACACCGCTAATTTAAATAATGTCGACCATAATTGATAAACATTTACCTACGCACGACGTGACAACTTTCAGAGTACTCCATAATCCTATAGGAACTCGCAGGTGGAAATTTTAACAATGTTTGTCTGAACGAACTACAATAATTTATAATTTCTGTATAGGTAATATTGTAGGTAGGTACACAATATAATCTAACTGCTATGTTATAATCTGTGACGTTCACTCGGATTATTTGTTATAGTCAGTGGCGAGGGCTTACCATATTTTCATATTTTTCAGAAGCTGATAACTACAATATTGCGATTTGCTGATAACATTTTTTCCCGATATCTGATATTCCGTTCTAAAACCCGGTACCCGGTATTTGAAATCGTAAACCATGAGTTGATAATGAAATTCACCGATTATCGGTCGAAAACCCGATTTTTTAAAACATTTTTTTCCTTATATTGCAAAGACAATAACAGATTATTAAGATTTTTGAATGAAAAAAACCACGATACCCACCGATATCGAGTATCGGTTTATGTATCAGCCTATCTCTATAGCACAGTTGTTTCTGGATTTCGGTATGAGGCGATAGGTTGTTAGCTACTTACTCACCTGTTGGTATACTTATGTACATTGGAGAATGGCATACTTTAATATGCAGCTGTGTGATCAATCCTCGTTAAAACACCAGTCAATATCTCGGATAGTAGTAACTAATTCAGGAATTTTTTTAGAAAATTTAAGCAGCTCTGATAATATTTATGTTTCCATTATTTTTTTGTCGCCTTAATATTAGAAGGTAAAACCGCTACCGCTACTAACACTGAGGTTAACCGTTATAGAACACTATAATTAGGTACAGCACGATTAGATAAAAAAAAAAAAAAACCGTCTATCGCAAAAACGACGAGTAGGTTAAGCTCCCGTTCAGGAATTCTTCAAGTGGGTAAATAACCGACACGCAAACGAATTATCGTGGATCATAAAATATGATTATTTATTACTATAAAATGCCTATGTAATTAAATAATCCAATTAGCCCTCAGAAAACAACAGAACTATAAAATGTAAAATATTATGCCTGAGGTGTACGTGCGGCCCATAACATATTATTGTACTACCGATAATTTTTATATTACGGTCATTTTAGATTTAAGTGATTTACGGTGAATGCGACTCTAACAATATTAGGGCAAAGGACTGCAGATATCATGATATCAGATTTAATGTATACCTGTAAGCAACAATAAACCATTGCCAGTGAAAAATGATTCTGAACGGAGTTCGGTTAATAGTGTTGCTTTGTCAACAATACATATATGTCTTACTATGGTAAAATAATTAAACAGCCATTATATATTTCCTTTAATAATATTTGTTTAATATTGTACCTATTTTCCCGTTTTTCCTATGTTTTCCCGTTTATTATGAAAACAGCTGGGAAAATCAAAAAATTACCTGCCTAACATACTACCCCAGTCTGATTTCCTTGCAGAAAAAGTGCCAACGTTGTGAATCGGAGCAAAATTGCTGGTAGAAAAGTTGTCCAGAGAAAAATAAAGTAAAACATCATCGTAAAACCATGCAATACATTCCTCGCTCCGCCTGGAATTTAAAAAACAGCGCAGTGTATGAAGTAAATACGTTTTATGCTAAGACAAAACTAGATTTGTAATTATATTTTACAAATTCACATTTTGGGTTTTCTTTTTTTTTTAGGTTTTAGGCATTATTCATTAATCTTATACTTTTTGATAATATTTGAATTGACTAATAATTTTAAGGATATTTTCTCCGTCGACGTTTTAGTTTCATTTAATAATACGACTGCCACAAACTGTCGGATTTAAACAGAGTTTTAATTTTGATCGTACAATATTGTATATACACGTAGTTGTTTACTGTTTGCACGTTTTTCCCCGCCGATCGAATTAATTTTCAAATTCTCCGTTTACCAATTTTTGTTTTCGATACGGGCACTTCGACATTTCTTCACATTTCAGTGTTCGGTGTGTTTCTATAAACGATCGAAGACGCGGTCCGTTTGCGATTCATTTTATTTTTATGCGCAAAATACCCGAAACATTAATCATCAGTAAATTCACAATCATTGTTATAATTTGCGCGTGTACAAAGGGAGGTTTTAGGGGTTCACCCCTCACCCAAATTGCATGAAAATTATGATGAAAGTAGATTTTAATCGAATCGAATCCCCAAAGTGGTGTCTGTCAATAATGAAGACAAATACAATGTTGGTTTTGTTTTTAATTTATTCCTAGATAATAATTATGTATTTTAGATTCTGAGTGTAGCGAAAAATGTATTGGTTTTACAAAGATGTTCACTTATTTTTTCTTTTTTTTTATAAGAATACTTTTTCTACCAGAAAGCTTACTCCGATATATACGATGTAGAACCTTTTCTGCGAGGAAATTGTCTTGGGGTGTTACTTTAGGGAGCTCATTTTTTGATTTTCCCAGCAGTTTTCCCAATAAAAGGATAAAAATGAAAAAAAAACGGCAAAATGTACGAATTATATTAGTAAAATATTATAATTTTACCTGTCTTAAAAATTCTATAAAAGGTGGAACATTAGTTTAAATAAATTTTGGTGTTGAAATTTTTGATTTCCATCAATCCATTAACGAGATATTCCACTTTTTAGTTTTGGCTGGAAGCAGAGTAGTGGAGTAACATTTGTGTAGCGGTACGGCGCGCCGCGGCGTATTAATAATACACCGCTACTCTCCTCCAACCTAAACTTAAAAGTAGAATATCTCGTCAACGGCTTGATATAAATCAAAAATATAAAAATTTAAATTTATTTTAACTAATACTCCATCTATTTATACAATTTTCAATATAGGTTGTCGTTAGAAAATCAAAAGTAAGTAGGTGATGGTTTTATCCCCAAAAATAAGAGCGAGAATAAATAACAGAAATATAAAATCGTAGAGCTACTTGTTTCTTAAATGTTCTGGAAAATAAATTCCGAAAAAGTTAATACTTTCCGAGATAATGAGTGTACCTACTTAAATAGATCACCTGGTATTGGTTTTACAATTATGTGTATTTTTTTTTCCGGGGACAACTTTTCTGCCAGAAATGTTGCGCCGATTTAATTCTGGGGGTGCTTAAGCCCCCCCCCCCAGAATGTAAACGTCGAAATAAAAAATTATGTGTTTCAATATTTGATATTTATAATTTTTATTTTATTTTGATGAGATCCGAGAATGGTATGGAATATTCACGGCTTATCGTTATTGGGAAAATCATATTTTGTAGGTATATATTGATAATCGCGAATATTCCAGAACTTGTTTGCGATACCTGTAAAGTTATAAATACGCAAGATGCTGACCGCCACATTATTATATCCACCGGTTTATTTATTCATCTTACATAAAGTATTAATTAATATTAATATTGTTTCTAACAAATTTCAAGAAAAAAATGCGTAGAATAAAAACTTGGCTTCGAACTTCTATGCTGCAGGAAAGGTTCAACAACACCTCAATATTATATATTGAAAAAGAAATTTCTAAATCTATTAATACTGAAACAATTGTTAATATATTTGCACAAAAAAATAGATAAAAATAAAAATAAAAATAATTTAGTAGCTATTCAATATTTTATTTTTTTATGTTCCTATTACCTATATATATATATATAAATATTTGGTGCCTCAGCTAGAATCAAGTAGGAGTAGCTACTACAGTTAGAAGGCGGAAGCGTCGGGAACGACTAAAAATATTTGTTTCCGCTAATGAATAAGACAAAAATGTTAAGCCCCCCCCCCAGATGAAACCAAATATCCGCCAATAGTAGATTATGTTGCATTGCCCGTTAATTGAACTGAGACAGAAAGTAACAAGTTAGCATTCATCATTTCGTCGCCGATATCTTCCGACTCAGAATTGTTTTCCTGAGGGTATCGTGACATATGTACGATGATTTTTAATGAAAAAAAAAAAAAAAAAACAAATACAATTTGATAACATTTGTATAACTTTCCGTTACTATAGGAAATCCGTTTCTAACATCAATTCATGAAGGTTACCTTATCTATTGAACAATTAGTTTTAAAATAAGCCAATTTAAAAAGCAACTTGTAACTTGTACATTTTGACGAATAACTAGTAACTTAACGAGTCACTTTTTTTTGATTAGGGACTTGTAACTTCACTAAGTTACTTAATTAAGGAATGTAACTGTAACTTACTCGGTTACTAAAGTTGAGTAACTAACCCGGCTTTAATTTAAATTTATAGGTAAGTAAGTAGTCTTTAATTGTGTAAAATAATGTAACACCGACGGAATATTATGTTCTCAGTTGTGCGGCAATGCATTAAGTTTAAGACTCAATATTACCTACCCGTCTTTTTCGGGTTTTCATTTCGAAAAACTATTGTTAAATGATAACACACGCTTACTCATTCAGTTACTACCCATCAACAGTAGATCCGAAATGCGACGGAAAAAAATGTTCTCCCGTCATATTTTTGCCACCGGTGCAAGATTTCTATTAGAAAAGTTGGGTATTTTTAAATAAATAATAATTTTGAATAAAATAATAGTTTCGGCTAAACTCTAGCTTTCAACAGCGTAGGCGACGGAAATGACTGCGGTCGACAACAGACAGTCGAGATAACGGAAACGAGATAACGGAAAAGTACCAAAAGTCGTTTACGCACAGTAAAACCAATACGGTATCCCTCGCTTCGTGCGGAATCACACATTTGTGATTCGGCAAATCGTTACGTCTATCTCTCCCCCCCCTCCCCGGTCCTACCGTGAATTGTCGTTCGGGACGGCCCTGGAAAACAATGGGCTCCGTACGTCCCCGCGCATCGCCCGGTCGACCGGCCTTTATCGTTTGCTCCGGACCGGAATGTCCGGACGACGAAACGGCAGCCCGCGTACGAACCACGGTTGCGATAACCCGTTATCAAATTATCGATATTATTTCCTGATAACACGGTACGAGATAAAGAATCTCGCGGTTATCGCGCGCGCCGTGTTGCGGTTGTTGTTGTTGTTGTTGTTGTTGTTGTTGTGCCATCAGTCGTACGGGAATATTATTGTTAATAACGCGATGAAAAAAAACGACCGCGGGTGCCGCGTGCGTTCGCTATTGTACGGTACGGGCGGCACTTGCGACGTCGCCCAACCGTGCCCGCGGCCGTACCGGCAAATGTCGCGCGTCGTCGTCGTCGTACGCTATTGTTGTTAGTTAACAGCAATAATACGCACCGCGGCCGTAACAACAACAACAATAATAATACTGCAATGTGCGTGTTACAGCGCATTAATATTAGTGCGTTATTCCGTCTACGTCACGTCACGCGCCGGCCGCGGCCTTCTACTCCTACTCGCGCCCGTCGCCGCCGTGCGGCGGTGCGCGATTTAATGACGCGAACGACGCGTTTCGCCAGTCTCCGTCCGCCGGCGATGTGGATATTCGCGGTCGCGGCACCGCCACCATTGTTGTTGCGGCGCGGTAACAGCGACGTCCATCAGTCGTGGGCCGAACCGTTCGTCCGGTCCGCCGTCGCGGGTGACAGCCGCCGTACGACGCGACGCGATATTGTCGCGCACGCCGATTCCGCCGACGCCTAGCGAACCCAGGTAAGCCGACGACGCGCGCCGAACGCTACGCCTCGTGTACGCCGCGGAGGGGTCGACGGAAATTTGTAGGCGTCGGGCCGTTCGGTTTTTTTTTTTTTTTGCCGCGGTCCCGTTCGCCCGCGCGGGGGGGGCGGAGGGGAAGGGGGGTGGGCGACTGTAATCCGTGCGAAAACGTTGTCCGGAAACGAATTACTCGCGCCCGACGAGTACCGCCTAGGACGGTGTTGCACGCGTTTCCCGCCTCCGACGTACCCCCGCGAACTTTCGTTCGCGTCCTTGGCTCCCCCGGTTGTCGTGCGAAACGAATAACACTCGAATAGGGTACCGCCGATGTCAAATACACCAAAGTCGGGACCCGTGTACAGTATAATTATACCCGCCTACGCGTAACTACCTATATTGTATTTGTTTGTTTGTTTGTTTTTTGTTTTTTTTTTTTTTATAATCCTAACTACCGTGTTACGTTTAGGTACACCAATGCATACGTCTTATAATCGACAATAATACTGTAACGCAAATCGACCCGCTGATTTTTTTAAAATTCTAATCAAAAGCGTTTGGTGCCTTTAACGTGTGCACGCCATAGAAATATTAAAAGACAATTGTATACTGTTTAATAATGTGTCTATGATGTACACACGCAAAATTGCAAACCCAACCTAACCCACCCATATCGCAACATTTAATAGAATTCTCTAGTATTTTACTTTAATATAATAATGCGGTGTATTTGTTTAATTAATTAACTACGCGGTGTAACGATAAAATTTATTTGTTTCAGAATTGCATTCAAAATGATTTCAAGGGATACAATAATGGTTTACGTGGTTTCCGCAATTGTTTTCCTGTCAATTGTGGTGTATTTATATTATAGAAATATATACAGTTTTTGGAGAAAAATGGGTGTGTTCAACATTGAACCAGAATTTTTTTTCGGCAATGCGAAAGACCGCGTTCTCTTCAGAAAATCATTCCACGAGTTCCACAGAGATATTTACTTCAAATTTAAAGGACATCGGTATGCTGGTTAGTATAGTTAATATCACATAGCTGTTATACGTATTACTCTATTGATATTAATTAGCAGTCATGAACATTTAAATTGATTTTCAATTGTTATAAAAAAAAAAATTGCATTTATTTTAATTTTAAAATAATTACGCAATGAATAAATTCTCTCATTTTTTTTTTTATTATTTTTTTTTTTTTATGATTTTCAGGATTTTATGTTGGTCGGCGAGCGTCTTTGGTTATTCTCGATCCAGAAATTATAAAATGTATTATGATAAAAGATTTCAATCATTTTACAGACCGTCAGACAATGAGATTAAGAACTTCTAAATACATTACAGAAATGTTAATAAATCTGAAAGGTTCTAAATGGAAAAAAATGAGAAGCCAATTAACTCCATCGTTTACTTCGGGAAAGCTTAGAACTATGGAACATTTAATAGATATTTGTTGTAATAATATGAGTGATTTTTTAAATGATAATATCAAAAGTGGTAATTGTAAAGTTTTTTTTTTACACTTTATTAATAATTTTATTACTTTTACCATGTTTATTTTGTTTTCAGAGAATGGTTTTAAACCATACGAATTGGAAATGAAAGATTTTTTTGGTAAATTCACCTTGGATGTTATTGCAACATGTGCGTTCGGAGTAGAATCAAATTCCTTAACCGATGTAACTGGTGGTTTTGCCAGTAGAGTGTCTAAATTTGCTACTTTAAGCATTACAAAACGTCTGTCACTCTATATAATAATACTATTTTTACCCGGTTTGGCACGATTTGTTCCACTCTCTTTTTTCAATATGAAAGTGATATATTTCTTAGCCAATGTAATTAAAGAAGCCAAAAGTTATAGAATGTCCACTGGTCAAAAGTATGTACATTTTTAGTTTTCAGACCTAAATTTATTCAATTATTTTTTTTTAGTTGTAATTGAAATATTATTACAGTATATGTTAAATATTTTAAAAATTGTTTTTTTTTTTTCAAGGCGCAATGATTTCTTACAATTATTGTTGGATAGTGAAAGTAACCCAGATAACAAAAATGAAAACAAACAAAATGAAGGTATCTGTTTTAAAATAACTTAAATACTTATATAAAATAAAAATAAAAATAATATTCATGGTAAGAATGTCCTAATTTAACCCATTAACGCCACATATGCCAACATCAATAAAACTTTTTCTGGACATTCTATATTAAATATGAATTTCTTGTAATGTAATTATACTATTATTTCATTAAAAAAAACTTGGCCTCAATGGGTTAAAAAAAATTACTTTCCCATTTGCTACCAACAGGAGTATTGTTGAACTTTGAGGCACTATAATATTATTATTATTAATATTTCCTGGCCCTGAACCATACTTTTATACTTTAGTATAAAGATTGTATACTTAGATAATAATTCACTGTGTGGCCCTGGATTTATATCCTATTTGTCTTCCTCTTACACAGGCACTGACTACAATAGTGCTCACTGTCCAAAGTGAATGCAATTTAAATTTGGGCATACTTAACCTGAATAGAGTATATTGGTGTATGTAACTAATACTAGAGTACCAGATATACTGAATAACATTTATTTAATCTATTTCACTTTAGGTGTGTTTTCATTATTATTATGATACAGTAGAGACATCACAGAAACAGGCTGTCATAGTAGATTTTGTAGGCTATCTTTTTAATAGGTAGTATAACAAAAGTGTATTTTACCTTTTTAGGAGTTCTTAAATTTCTCTGGCTTTGATGTAGTTAAAACAAAAGGAACAAATCTAGTTTACAGTCTAAGCTCATTTTTAACATTTTTTTTTTTTTTTTAAATTTGTGTTTTGCGTGTACATTAAGAATATAAAAAAAAAGTTGCAAGTTATATGGGAAAACTTCAAAAAGTTCGAATTTTCTATAACTTTGTTATCAATTTTTGACCACATTTTGGAGTAATTCCAAAAATGCTATTTTTCAAGGCTTATGTACAAAAACTATAAAATTAAGTATGTTAGTTAATTTTTGATTATATCAATAGATAATGCATTTAAAAACACATTTTGGAAAAAAAAAGTTGAAAATATTAAATTCTACTAAGAAATATATGAAATGGAAAACCTGAACATTATGAAGTTTTCCCCTATAACTTCTAAACAAAGTTCATTCTTTTTTTTAAAAAAATCTTAATGTGCATGAAAAAACAAACATTTTGAAATATTATTTTATTGTATTTTAGAATAGAACATTTACTATTTACATTTCCACAAAGGAATTTTTCATATTTTCATTACAATTTTTATATTTTTTTTAATATTCAAGTATGATCTAATAGCCTAGAAATAAGTTATCAATTAATATTATAAATGTTATCATTTTTAATTTGGTTAAATCATTTCAAATCTACTAGAACCAAAGTTATGTTGGAATCCTAAAAATTATGTTTTTGTAATTTTGATATTACTGGAGTTTCATTGATTGTGTAAACTTAATTATAGTTCCAAAATAAACATGAGAAGTTAAACTGTAGAATAGATTCTTTTATTTTTATTTTTCTAAATCAATTTTATTTGTCTTTATAAATATATGGAAAATTTTTATAAAATCTACAGATTAAGAATTTAAAAAATTAGTTTTGTATATAGACATTTAATAAAACTTGTTATCTTTATTTTATCAGTATAATCAAATTTGTATGATAAATTCAACTTGTAAGTCATCAATTGGATGTAAAAAAAAAAATATATATATAATGATATAATACTACATGAAAAAATCTAATTTGAATTCTAGAATTGTATAAGTATATAAGTGTTATTTTATTCAAAATTTAAAATACATGCATTAGAAGAAATATTTTTATTGATACTATTAATAGCTTATTATTAAATTATTTTTGTTAAATATCTAAGAAATTGAAAATTAAGATTAACAACCAAATATTTTTATTTTAATCATCAATAATTTAATATACTTTGAGAAGGCCCTTCAAGTTGATCATGGTCTTTTAATAGACACTCGTGATAGCCTTGGTATTCGTGACCCTCTTCTCTCCTGGCTAAAACCCTATTTAACACAAAGAAGACAATTCGTCTTCATCAATGGTGTGATCTATGATCTGACTATCATATCATCCAGTATTCCCCAGGGTGGTCATCTTAGTCCCCTTCTAATCATTTTCTTTATGAACTTTCTAAATGATTGCTTATCTTTTGTTGTCCTCTTACAATCTGATTTTGACACCTTGGATTAGGTGCCCACCATTATACCTCTTATAGATTCAGCCATCCACTACACAGAATGTTACGTAGTCTTAATTCAGCTTAGTCTTTTTCGTCAATCAATGTTTAGCATATAATATTATGTAATTTTATACTGATTTTGTTTTTGTTAATGTTATGTACTGTATTTAAATTAATGCCTGGTATAGGGTAAATAAATAAATAATAATCATATTATATAATAATAATAATAATAATAGGCTGACACTTCCTTGAATTCAAAAGTTAGGAAAGGACATTTTTTTAAGTGCTTCAAATTTTAAATGATTAATTTAATTTTTCTATGCAATTTTATACAATTTGATAATATTAGTATCATATAAATTTAAGCTGAGTGTCTGATAAATTATATTATTTATCATTAGTAAAATTAAATTAGCAAGGAGAAATTTGAATTTTAACAAACTTTAAAAATCGCTTAAAAATTAATGGTAAAACTTAATGATTTTAAACACCAACAATTGTTTTAAAAAAAAAATTTTAATATCATAGTTTAGCTGTAATATAAAAAAATATATTATACAAATTATAATGTAAAGCTTTAGTAATTATTACAAAAAAAAAAAGCCTTAAAAATATTCAATAGAAAATGAGTGATTACATTTATTAAATAGTACTGTCACATTGTACTTTAAACCATATTTATAATATTCATTTAATTTTTAAAAAAAAATTTAGTCAATGTTAATTTAGCATTACTCTTTTTCAGCTACAGATTTTAATTGTGTCTATTAAAATTTTAAAAATTGATTTATTTCAGATTCATTAACTGAACCACAGATAGTTGCACAATCAGTGTTGTTTTTGATTGCTGGATTTGAAACATCTAGTACTTTATTAACATTCACTTGTTATGAGTTAGCAATTAATCAGGAAATACAAATTAAGTTGAGGGAAGAAATCTGTTCTATATTAGACCGATACAATGGTAAATGTACATATGAAGCTATGCAAGAAATGACTTTTTTAGATATGGTATTGGGAGGTATGTATCTAACTTAAATTATAAAACTAAAACTAATGTATTTATCAATTCATATTTCAGAAACCTTAAGAATGCACCCTCCAGTAGCACAGTTAGAACGTGTGTGTACTCAAGATTATATGATACCTGATTCCAACTTGATATTGCAAAAAGGCACTGCTGTTCAAATACCAGTCATTGGACTACATTATGATCCAGAATATTATCCTGATCCATATAAATTTGATCCAAATCGGTTTTCTGCTGAAGAAAAAGCTAGCAGGCACCATTATGTTTATTTACCATTTGGAACAGGACCAAGAAATTGCATTGGTATGTATATATATTATATAGTATATACCTATAATTATTATATACAGTCTTGAAAAAATATTTGATGAACATAATAATTTGTCTACACTATGCATTAATATAATTTTGAATTTGTGTTTTAATAGGTTTGAGGTTTGCTTTGATGAGTACGAAAAGAGGTATGGTGCATTTATTGAAAAACTTCTCAATTGAACTGAGCAACCGAACAACAGTGCCTTATATATATAGTAAGCATTCCATGTTTTTAAAAGCACAAAATGGTATTTGGCTGTCATTTAATAAACTGAATACATCTTAAACAGCCTGAACTTTCTTTTTACAAATTATAATTTTATCAATTTATCTATTTTAAATATTTATGAAATTCATTTATAAGTAAAATATTTTATTTCTTAAACATACATTATGATATATGAATTGTTTAATTTGATTAATAATTAGGTACATTACATTTAGTACATTTCTTTGATGTTTTCTGTTTTTGGTGTTAATAATTTGAAATTATATTATTATATTATATTGTATTTATGTGCATATAATTATTTTTAAATTGTTAATAATACTGTAAAATAAAATACACTGTATTGTTTTCATATACGTGTTATAGTAAAATAACCATTATTTAAAAATGATTCACTTGTTAATACAAATATTATACTTTTATAACTTAACAAAGAGTTTCAAATAAGATTACTCCAAATAACCAAATGATAGTCTAAATATTATTATGTTAAATATTAAAATTGTTTAGTTATCATAAATAATTGTCAATTATATCATTGAACATTATATCAAAAATTGTCTGTATGTAAACAAATTAACCATTGAAAAAAATAAAATATTTTTGGATTATAATTACTCCAAGATAAGCATTATCAAGAGAGTTATTTGTCTTGGGTGGCTAGAGTTAACCTAGAATTAATAATTTTCTAAAGCTCTAAAAATCCTATCTGTTTGCTGAAACATTTAGATGAAAATGAGATTTGCACTCATCAGTGCTGTATTGGCATCATTCTCAAAAAGCATCCTGACATAAAAATATTCCAGTTAAATCCATTTTCTTTAACTGTGTGTGGAAAACACCATACACTTTTATAGATGAAAGTTGTTCTGGTTTTCAAATATGTTGTGTTCTTATATACAGGTATACCACAGAGATCTAATAATTGTGATAACTTTTTTTTGTTCAATATTTTTAAGTTTTTCTTTTTTAGAATTATTACAGAAGGTATAAACCTCTATGTTTAAATTATTTTTATTTTTTAAAAAATAAATGAAAAATCGTAATTTATATATTTTGAAACAAAATGTTGGTATTACAAGTTTTGAAGTTAATAATTTAAATTACTAAATAATATCAATCAATTTACTAATTCTTCAAAGAAAAATAGTTTTTTAATAATTCAAAAAACTGTAAGAACTCAACATCATTATTAGTAAATATTTTTAACAGCTAAATTATACTTGAAAATATATTTATAAAATGAGGTTATCTTGGATTTTATAATTTTTAAAAAATTTAAATTGTTTAGTTTTAATAAAAATAAATAAATATTAACCCATGACTTATAAGAAAAAGTATTGAACAGAACAATAGTTATAATTGCATTTGTCAAATCTGTGTATATACCCAGTGAAATTAACATTTTTCTAACTGAAATTTTAGAAAATGTAAACACATTATATCGGTCTGTTTACCTAATTATAGCAATCACAAAGGAGATGGGAATTGTCAATAACTATTGGTAACATGTGTTATTCATTATGAGTTATTTATAATAATTGAATAAATCGGGAGTAAATATACTAAACAAAATAAAACGGTTTTATTGTTTGCTATAATTTTGTTAAAATTAATTAAATTAATATGACTAATTATTAATTATTTTTCCATTTCCCATTTGGAATGCTAGCTCCTTGAGTATAATACCATTAGGAAGGTTTTTTGGTGTCATAATTTTCTTTATTTAATTTTTTTAACACCTAACTAAACATTTTTATGGTCCAAAACTCATAAATTCTAATTTTTACTAATCAGAAAGCTTTGTATCCTTTGTGGGCTTGTATTTTGGTACATTATGATCCATTTTGATCACTGTTTTTATCTAAATATATAGTTACCTATTATAGACAGTAGCAATTTAATTTTTTGGAACATTTATTTTTTTTTAATTTAATAAGATATTGAAAATTTAAAAGAAAAACTGTATTCACTATAGTGTACTATGTTATTTAATTTAAATTACAACTAGATTAATTATTATTCCTAGCCATAGATATGTCTATTATGTAAAATCAACAACAAATTGTTTCATCTAAAAAAATACTTATTTTTTTAAAAAGTTCAGTAATCTCATGAAGCATTATTTTCATCTTAAGAAACATAGCTTTACAGCCAGAAGTCAAAAAAAGGTATTTAATGAAAATAATATATATCATGTTTTCATGGTAGTTTTATAAATTAATAATTTAAGACATTACTTAAATATTAATAGGTTCTGAAAATATTTATCTAATCATATTTATCTATACAAGTAGTAAACAAATAAGTAATCATAATTATAATAATTAATAAGTTATACATGTATAATAATAAATAATCTATACTTTTTATTACTTATTATTTTTTAGTACCTATTATTAAAATCTACAATTAGTGAACATTTGGTTATTTTATTTGACTGAACAATTATAACCATTATGATGTGTTCTAGCATTTATACATAACTGTGTTAAACTATATTTAAAAAAATAATTATGAAGTGAACATATTAAAATTGAATATACACCTAACAGATATAATGGTTATACAAAAATAAACATAATAAACATAATATTAGGACTTAAATGCTAAAAGAATAAATTGTTTAAATATGTGTTATTATTTTTCTTTTTTTTTTTTTTTACAGTTAATGTTATTTATTTTTTTTATAGTCTTCCCCCTCCCCATTTGTTAAATGATTTCACATTTATTTTGATTATTTTTTTAGTGAGTTTCATGTTATACACTATTTTTAAAATTGTAAATTCTTTACATTACATTACACAGTTTAGGTTTAAATTATGTGCAGTTCATCATGGTTAGTATAGTATTTCAATACAATATTTTATTATATTATGTGATTATCCAGCCAATAGTTATTTTTATTTGAAAACCTTATCCTACTTTTTTCTTTTTTTCTTTTAATAATAATAATTTATTCAGAGTAACCTCTGAGAAAAAATCATTGAAAATATTTCCGCATAAAACTGGTTCTTCATTTGGATTGATTTTTTTATTATAAAATTGTATAGAATTAATTAAAACATTATTCTTTTTTTTCTATTAAAAATATCATCAATAGTATCTTAAATTTTTTTAGTATTTTTAATATTTTTATAATACAAGTTTTTACTTACTTTATTATTTTATTACTTACTTACTAATAATTTTTTCAATTTTTTCTCACTTTACCTTGAACACTTTTTCAATTAAAAAATGCTCCTCATTGTTCAATTCATTATGATATTCTATTTTATTTAATATTTGAATCAAAGTAATAAATAGGTATAATATTATTGAGTACCTATGTTGATAGTTAAATTAATATTTAAACAATATTTTTTGTATATGGGAATAGATATGTGTGCAATAAAAATTGTAAAAATTGTTGGCACTGACATTACACTTAAGAATTACTTAGAATTAACTTATGGAACCGCCTTAAACTTAGCCAAAAATTGAGAGGCTGTGCACAGTAATAGTATCAATAATAATATTAATAATAGATTTTCGGAATTTTAGGTATTACATGAATAACAAAAATTCCCAAGGAAGTGCAGTCCTTATTGTGCTGAAATAATCCCTGCTTAAAAATTATAAAAAATGAAATATTGTCATAGTCCAATGTTCCAAAGAAAAATATTATCTTAAATTTTTATTTCCATTTACGATTAATATTATAATAATAATAATAATAATAATATTATTATTATTATTATTATTTAATCAATTGGGTAGATATTTGTTTTTCTCATTTTAGATGATTTTTAAATAACTAATATTTTTTAATTAAATCACTAGAAAACAATTTTTAGAACTTTTGTTTAATACATATTTTAATGTTTTTGAGTACATTAGTACTTGCAAATATAATATTTTTTTAGAGCTATATGTCCTCTGCCATAGTGATGTCTAAAAGTGTGAAATTTTAAGCAGAGTTCGGCTACATATGTTTTAAAATGACATAAATATTACGATTTTCGTAAAAATTTGATATTAAAATTCTTTTATAAAAAAAAATGCTACATTAAACTCATCAACAATTTTTTGTTGACCACTAAATATAATTTATAATAATCCTGTTAAATTTTCAAGAATTTCTGTTTGGTCTATTTTATCCACATTAAAATGTCTATAAAAACTCAAAATTGGCTTAAATGTTTTAAACATTTTACCATGTAAAAAAGGAAAATATAAGGTTGCTGTCAAAATTTCAAGTCTACGAATATTTTTAACTGAATTACAACAAAACAAAATTTAAAATTATAAAATAATTAGTATTTTATCATTATTTACGAAAATTTTCCCGTTTTTCCCATTTATGATGAAAATTCCCTATCAGAAAAAGTGGTACACTTGACAATCCGTAGGATTAGGTTTTGGTAGAATTTGTGTACACAGTAAAAAAAAAATAATAATAAACATTATAAAACCAATACATTTCCTCGCTTCGCTCAGAATCTAAATATAATAATTTTATAATATTATGATCTAATTTTAAGTACTCTATTATCTGAAATTTACATGCAAAATTATGAAATCAATAATATTATACAACAAAATATGCAGTCCATATACATAAGCAAATTATAGATATATTAATGACACGTTCATTTTATTTAAAGATTCAAATAGACGAGCAGAAAATTTAGTTAACTACTTAAACAAAATAAATAAAAATAACTCAATTTACACTCGAAATACAAAAAAATAATTAGATCTTACGGTTTCCATAATAAACAATAAAATTGATTTTAGTATTTACAGGAAACCTACACAAACTGATGCTATAAAAACGTATTATAAATGTATTAAAGAAAAAATAATACACAACTCATCAAATAATGTTGTTAACTATTGTAGTATGAAATATCAAATTAATATGTCTAACAAATTCGCTAAAATTCTGAACAATAAGACAAATAATGTAAAAATCGCTTTGAAGACTAATAATAATTTAATCAAACATATCAACAATAAGACTAAAAACTACTTAAAAAATCCACCTTCTTTTGAAAATGCTGGTATATATAAACTTAAATGTAATTGTAATAAATTTTATATAGGTAAGACAAATAGATATTTTAAAATGAAATATAAAGAACACATTTCTGAAATAAAATTAAAAAAGATTGCCCCTAATTCAAATTTCGCTGAACATGTTATAGAAAATAACCACAATATAAATTTTAATATTAATACAGACTTGGAGCTATTAAATATCCAAAATAACATTCGCACTAATTCAATTTTAGAAGAATTATTCGTACACAATGAAATAAAGAAAAATAATTTGAATACTATTTTAAATGTTCAAACCGATTTTAAAAATAATATCTTATATCAATACATTTTAGATTATAAATAATAACCAAATTATTTATATTTCTTAACATATCTATGACTAATATTAACTAATTCTAAATAATCTCTCCTATTCAAATAAATTATTTCTATGTAAAACGACTAATTTGTACAATTTTTTTTGCCATGTCATTCAATTTTTCATATTCAGTCGCGTTTTACATTTCAACTGTGATATACCTAATGATGAATTTTTA